GCCGTCCTTCGGGAGCGTGGTGGCACGAAGAAACTTGACGTCTTCGAACACGACCGACAACTCGGTGTGCATTCGGCCTCGCATCGAGGCGAGAGTTTTCCCAGATGAAGGTGAGGTAGCTGCTGGCTGGCAAAAGATTTCGGCCATCGATCACGTGGCCGGCTAAAAACTCGTACTCGCTGTCCGAGACCCGCGATCTTGACGAAGCGCTCGCTGGATTGGTCTTTTCCTGGCTGTTGTAGAGTGACGTACCAGTCGTCCGTGTGCTGCCACTTGATCATAGGCGAGATCATTGGCGTCGAGCGGCTCCACGGGGAACTCCACGGCCGGATACAAATTGGCTGAAAGTCGGAAAGAACGTGAGTCTCCAAGTCGAAGCAGTCCTCCCCATCCGTTCGCCGCTTGGCCGTGACACATTGTTCCCTTACACAGTTGAGGGTGGAGCCCAGCGTTGAACATCTTGCCGATGGCCTGGAGGAGCATCCCGACGCCGTCCCTGTGAGCGCGGCGGGTCAGGGGGACGTTGGTGACACTGGGGTCGAGGGACCTCCGCAGGATAGCCTGGAGCAGACCGTGAGGCGCGATCTCAATGGCGATCGCGTGCTTGGGTATCAGCGCCGCGGCCTCCTCGAACAGCACCGGGCTGAGCAGGTTGTTGGTGTGGTACTCGGCCGAGGAGTAGCGCGCCGCCTCCGTGTGCCGCTTGTCTCCAGGGAACCGAGCTGCTCAGCCACTTGTCCGCTTCGCAGCTTCGGCTCGGGAATGACCCCTCTTCAGGTAGGCCAGCAGCTTAGGTCCGGCCGGGGCGATGTAGCGACTGTGGTACGGGATGTTGGCACAGGGCACCTCCTTGGCGAAAACGCCCCGCGCCTGCGACACGCGCCCGCACCGATTACAGCACCGCAGGCTCGCGAGGCCCGTGAGCCCCGTGGAGCGTGCTTCTCACCTTCAGCTCGGCGACGAAGCGCTGCAATCGACTCGGCGGGCCCGCTGATGGTCGCGCCTCTCGGCCGAGTTGTGGCAGGCCACGTCGATGTCGCCCGGGCACAGCTCCCGCAGACGGGCGTAGCCGAGACCGACGGGCGGCCATCGAACCGCGCAACCCAGCTCGGCCTCGACCGAGGCCAGGCCTCGCGAGTAGGCCGCCCAGGATCATCTGCTCGGCGGTGAAGCAGCCGTCGGCGTAGGCGCAGCCTAGCTCGCCGACCGAGTGGCCGAGCAGCAGGTCCGGCTCGACGCCCAGTGAGCGCAGCAGGTCCACCAGGCCGATCTGCGCGAAAGAGAGGGCGTGAGAGGGCGCGAGAGGGCGCGGAGAGGGCGCGAGAGAGCGGGCGGTGGCCAACCTGCACGGCGGCGATGCCGACGAAGCAGCTGAGGATGTCGTCGAGGGCGCCGCGGTCCTCGGCAGCGATCACGCGGAAGACGTCGAGGCCGAGGGGGCGCAGCACCTTGTCGCACCTGCCGACCGCCTCGGCGAAGACCGGCACGCGGCAGCAGCGCCGCCCCTGCGAGCAGTCGCGACGGTTGGTGGTCGTTGCAAGCGAGCGCGACAGAGCGGCCTACCCATGCCGGGCCACTGCGAGCCCATGCCGGAGAAGACGAAGCAGACGGGCGGCCGGGCGCCCGCGAAGGCCCGCCACCTCCCTGGACGGCGCCGCGACCAGCCCGCGCGCCGGCAAGCAGCGTGTAGCCCGCGGTAGAGGTGGTCGCTGATCTCGCTCGAGTGGACGGCGTGCAGCAGGGCCACCAGCTCGGCGTCCACCGGCCGGGGCCTCCAGCTGCAAAGGGGCTCGGCTGGTCAGGGCCCGCGTGGCCTCCCCCCTCCGCCCCTCACCTCGGCGAGCAGCGCGGCCACGGCCTCCTCCGTCCGGCCGGAGGCGACCACCAGCCGCGGCAGCTGGTCCCCGCGGCGCGCCCCCGTCCAGCTTGGGCCGGGCCGCTCGCCCGCAGCAGCACGTGCGCGTTGGCGCCGCCGAAGCCGAAGGAGTTGACGGCCGCGTAGTCGCCCGGCCAGGGCGTGCACCTCCGTGACGACCCGCAGCCGGCCCCTGCAGGATGGCCGTGAGCTCGCGCTTGCAGCGCCGATAGTTGACGTTGGGCGGGATGCGGCCGCTCTCCATGGCCCAGCAGCACCTTGGCCACGGACACGAGGCCGCTGGCGGGCTCGCAGTGGCCCAGGTTCGACTTGACGGAGCCGACGAGCAGCGGCTCGGAGCGCGCGGCGCACAGCGCCTCGTCGAGCGCGGCCACCTCCTCGGCGTCGCCCACTTGGTGCCGGTGCCGTGCGCCTCCACGTAGGCCAGCCGCGCCGCCGGCACGCCGCACTCCAGGTAGAACTCGCGCAGCAGGCCGGCTCTGCGCGGCGCTCGACGGGAACGTCACGCCTCCTCCTTGAAGCCGTCGCAGTTGACCTTGGCGTGCACCAGCGTGGCGTAGCAGCGCCTCGCTCGGCTGGCCGCTGCAGGAACAGCGCGCAGACCGCCTCGCTGCGCGCGTACCCGTCGGCCGCCTCGTCGAAGGTCTTGCAGCGGCCGTCGGTCGAGAGGACACCTGTCTCAGCAGGGGGCACGCGTGAGCGCTGGCGGCGGGCCGCGGGCAGCGCGGGCAGCGCGGGCAGCGCGCGCGCGGGCGCGCGGGCTCCTACCTAGCTCGAAGAACTGCTTGGAGACGAAGGGCAGCAGGCAGAGGTGGCCGCTGCCCCACCAGCGCGGCGTCGCACAGGCCCTCGCGCATCGCGCGGTAGGCCTGCTCCAGGGCGTGCAGCGACGAGCTGCAGGCGCTGTCGACCGTGTAGCTGGGGCCGATGGTGCCCAGGTAGTAGGAGACGCGGTTGGCCAGCATCGCTCGCGCGCAGCCCGTGATGCCGAAGCCGTTCGCCCGCGAACGCTCGTACAGCCAGGTCTTCTCCGACTCGCACAAGCTGGCGCCCACGAACACGCCGGTGCGGCTGCCCCGCAGCCGGCGCGGGTTCACGCCCGCGTCCAGCACCGCCTCGAACGCGTGCTCCAGCAGCATGCGGCACGTCGGGTCCATCGCGTGCGCCTGCTTGTAGTGCACGCCGAAGAACGAGGCGTCGAACTTGCTCGCGTTATTCACCTTGCCGGTCCGCTGCGGCACGTGCGGGTCGTCTGCGAAGCGGTGCCCTTCGCTGTAGCCGACTACGCTTCGCGCGAGCGTGCCCGCTTCCAGACTTTACCCAATATCCAGCGGCGCCCGTCGCCGCTCACCAGGTCCACCTTCCTCTCGAGGTTGTCCCGCAACTCGCGCAGGTTATCCGAGTCAGGGAAGCGTCCGGCCATGCCGCTGATCACGATCTCGTCGCCCGGCTCGACCGCTGCTAGCTTGCGAGGCTGGAGCTCCCGGGCGGCACTGTCATCGGCCGACGTCATGCTGTCCAAACTACCCTTGCTCGGTGATCAAGCGCGATCTACTGACTGGTCGATCGACGACGATCGACTGATGCCGAAGAACCGATTGACCGCCACTTTTATATCTTTAATTATTGTTTTTAGCCCCCGTTTTTTCTCGTGCCTCGTCTCTAACAACGATGCTTGTCGCGATCCTACATGAGACCATCAATTACTTCATTTAGTTCTTGCACTCTGTATATTTGTTTCTGTCTTGAAAACAACGTTTATCTGGTATGGCATTTCAGTGACTTTTTGTAGAATGAAATTTCACATTTTTTTATGGTTGATGCGTAAATTGTAGCGCAAGTTATGCAAGTTTATGAGCGGCTATGACGAAAATTTGCAGATGATTATTATATAAAAATCGAAAGTAAACGTCAATCATATAATTATCATTATTTACGCGAGTATTTCTACTCTGATGAACATCGCGTCGATTACACTCATCTCAATTAAAATTTCTTGGCGGTCACGTTATTTTCATTTATTAAAACAGTTTTTTTTTAATATAAGGTCAAGCATTTCTTTTGCACTGCTCTCCCGAAGATGAAAAGAAGCTATACGTTTTTCTACTAACGAAGTGTCACATACAAAGAAGCAATTTAAATTATTATACTGCTCAAAAATGATTAACAAGCTTTTCGTAGTCGACAAGCTTTCGTGAATATTTTTTATTTAAATAACGTGCTGCACTGGTGTATCTTGTGATATCCCATTTCTTTTTGATGAAAGTGCAAGCTCGAGCCAACTTGGCAGTTGACAACTCAAGCCGATTCAGGCTCGGCCAAGCTTTTGCAGAATGATTTCTCGACTGTTTTTTTTTATAATCGCTTTATTAAACCATATAACAGGCCAGAATATTTATAAAAAATAATCATTCTTGTTCACAAATTTTCTACTTTCAGTGAATAGATGTCCTGGTGTTTAATGTTCTTAAACAGAAATAACATATTCGGGCATTTTAAATTATCAAAGAAATAACACGAAGATCGACGAGCTCTAACGTCATACAGTCAGCCAGAGCCACAAGTTCAATTCACTATCTAGTAAGACACAAAATTGTCATAATTCTGATTATTTTTATAAGGGGTTATAGGAATTGATGCTCATGAGTAGAGTCAACCTTGCGGAAGCTCAATTTGGATAAAACTTGGGGTAAATATTCTTTTTAAAAAATTAAGTTGAGCTTTAAATAATTAAGTTCCTATTCAAACCAAAATTACCCAAAAAGCTTTGATTAAAACAAGAATTAAATGTTTATTAATAAACAAATATTTACTTAAGAAACCAGAAGTTGCAGCCGAAAGGTATTTTACAATTTTGCAAAAGTTCTCAGATATTTGTGAACCAATTGAATTAAACAATCGATACTTCCTTTAAGTTATTTTTTTATAAGCTGTTGTATATAAAAAAAGATTCCGTAAATTTTATTTTATCCCTAACAACTTTAATTGAAAAAGATCAAAAATTAATTGTTAATTTAGAAAAAAAAACAATATGTAGAGTTTAGAAAAAGAACAGTTCTGTTGCATGGAATTGAAGCTTGATATAAGGTTAAATAAAGTCCACGAGCTGTAGAATTTTGTCGTTATCTCCACTTTTTATTTTCGATAAGATTATCATCGATTTGACATTACGTTTCAATAACCTTATTTACAAAACATTCGAGTATAAGCACTAATGAATTTTTTTCTTATTCTTCAATGTACTCTCATCGCGAAAAGTCTCTCGAGTTATTTACAAAAATCGTTTGAAAGGTAACCGTGACTTACACAAAGGAAAAAAAACACGTGCACTCTCGTAAATGTCCGATCCTCGATTTTTCACTCATACCGTCTCACTTAACTGCTTTTGCCGCGTACCATTACGCATTCCAGTTATTGAGAATACTAAGATGGATAAACCATGTATCAGTCGTTTTTCATTCTTCTTGGTTTGCTCAGCTTTAATATAGGATGTTGCAAAAAACCATCTTGTATTTCATAAAAGGAGTTTTCATCGGTGACGTTAATATAATATTGTCGGTAACTCGAATAGACGACAAACAGGAAAAAATTTCTTTTTGAAACTTCTTTTCGTTACTTGTCATGATTAATGAATCTGATGTTGTTAATTTAATTTCCATACGCTATTTAATCAATAATAGTACGGATCTTTTTTCATTTTTCATTGTTTAACCTCTCATTATTTCCTTGCGATTATCGTTTCGCCCAAAGTTCCAAAATGTCATCAATCTCTTTTATATATTTATTCTAGAATCTCCAAACCCAGTTCCATTAATAATCCATAAATTATTCTAATTTTTTACTGAATCTCATGATGGAATAAAGCATCTCATTGTGTATTCCATAACTGAGTTCTTTGGAATATCAATCAATCGTTAATTTCTCAACAAGGAATGAAATTCATAGTAGGTGGAAAGCACGAAAATTCTTGTAAAATTTTAATACATCCTGAAATATTTAAATTCTAAAATCCAGATGAATTATACAGACATTCGTGCCTTTAAAAATGTCGAAAATAGCTTTCGAGTTTTTCACGGAAATTACTAGTTCTATCGTAACTTCAAAAATCATCATTGAATTAATGTACTCGTATGCTTATTTGCGAGTACAGAAAAATTGTAGATTACACAGCCATACTGCATTTTTAGATTCATAATGTTGTAGCTTATAAAAAATGTTTATTCTTCCGAATTTCGATACGAGAGCAATTTTTTTTAAGATTTCATTCTCAAGAGTCTTTAATAAAATAAAAGACGCGAGTGTTTCTCTTGCTGTATCCGATGCACAAGACTCCGTCAAGCTATATTACAAACATATTTATGAAAGTAGAATATAAGAGTTCTATGTCCTAATGATCAGTCTAAAATAGATGTTTTTGCACCTGATTACTTTAAGAGAAAAAAACTAAATGAGATGCAATAATTATGAGTCGAAAATCCTACAAACTCTATAGACAAAGAAAAATAAAATCAAGTTTGTAGTGTAGTATGATTGAGCGCAATAAACTATAGCAAATTCTATCGTCGATTTTTTTCGCACTTAATGATTTACGATTCGCAAAAATGCAATTTACCAAAAATTAAAATCATAACAATTTTTTAAGTCAGTCCTCGCGAGTTGACGGGCGGAATGTCGTATTTGCCAATTGTTCTCTGCACAATATCATAACTTTGCACTTGCCGCTGTTCTATTTTAAATATCGTAACTAAAAACCCTGTTTTAAGATTAATTTCGTTGACTTTTCTCGTATTTCTTTTATAAATATTATACATTTGTTCAATGTCTAACTCGATATATCCAATAAAAGTGCAACGTAATGACATAGTGATTGTATTTACTCAAACTCATAATTGATAACATGTTCGTCGGAATAAATTTGATAAAAATAACGAAATTTTTTAATTGTATTCTTTTCGAGCACATTACAATGATATTGACGAAATTCATTGAATATCTTACAATAGGTCGGTGGATGAAATGATTAAGCTTAGTCTACTTTTACTATTTTATAATTTGGCAGAAATGCTTCGATTCTATCTTTGAGTAAGAACAAATAAAACGCAAAATGAAATGTTCGCAATAAAAATTGGAAAAGTACAACGAAATTAAACGTGAAATAATAAACGGCCGGAACTTTGGCACGGCAAAGTAATTATAGCATATTTGCATGGGGGAGACATTGGCACGTCAACAGAAGAAGAAATGTCGGTCATGGCATTCTTTCATAGTAGCAGATCAGTTATGAACGGTTGTTGAAGCATGCTGTAGTCTCTCAAGCTCCTCTAGAGAAAGGACGTTAGTTTGGCCAATATCAGGTAATTTTACGGTCCGTGCTTGTGCCAGTAGCTCTGGACTAAACCATCGAGCCAATTGATTCGAAGTGGGTGATAAATCACCACCGTTACCACTGCCAAAACCTGGTGAACCTGGACCACGACCTACCGATATATTCAACTGCTGCTGACGTATTGCTCGAACGTCTGTTTAAATCAGAAAAGAATTTACAATTAATATATAACTTTGTTTCATATTTAAATATTAAATTATAAGGACGTTGACTATTTATAATTATTCTGTATTTAATTTTGTTTAAAAAAAATTTGTCAACATCCTTCATCAGACAGGCTTAGTTCAGCGACATTTACAGTTACAATTACTACGAACATAAAAATAGCATTCATTCATTGAAGTAAGCCTGGTAAGCAAATAATAATTTATTAAACTATAATAATATACTTGTGTGCATGGATAATTCATGAAAGGGTAAGGATCTTGTTAATTAGACTCTTGAGAGCCATTGCATGGGATGGGTTTGACGAAGACACCTAGAAAAAATGATGATGAGCAAAAGTGAAAGTAAAAATAATAATAAAAAAATTATCTAAAATCATAGAGGATCGTATTCGAAATTGAATGAACCAAACTAAAAAAAGAAATTTACCATGTCTCTTCCACGTCAAGAGATCTGAACTTCGATTTGTGAGTATCATATCTTCATACATGTTTATCGGTTTGATGGGTTGTTCAACCTGTCTTTGAGCACCGATTATGGCACTAAGACTTTGTTGTGTCTGCGCTGCGTTGAATTGAGGAGGTAATCCAGTCGGTGTTGGTGGCTGCTGTGGCTTCGAGCGACTCGAGCTTGCACCAAAAATTGCTTGACCAATTCTTTGTTGTTGTTGTTGTTGTTGTTGTTGTTGTTGATTTTTTTGTTGTTGCTGCTGCTGCTGTTGAAACTCGACGTTGCTACCATAATGAAATTGTTGTTGCTGTGGCATAGTACTACCGCTACCTTTGACGATTGGTCGTCCTGTAGAATAAAATAAATATTAATTAATTAGTAAGAGACAAGAAAAAGAAGCGTTCTGAGGATTACCTATTAAGTTAATAAATGATGTTACAAAACATATTTATCGCTATAGTTTTCAAAGCATAAAATTAATAAGAATTTTTTAGGATATATTTTTCGAATTGTAATTTTCAAATGCTAACTTTTCAAGTATTTACACTGTTTGGATCTATAAAATATTTGTCAAGCTTCAAGATAAATATTTAGGTATTAAGTAATAGTTTGAGCTTGACACACAGCACATTCAACAATCACAAAAATGCAACCTTCGCACATAGCTATCACCTGAAAAAAACTCTCGAAAGCTTTGTGCAAACGCTAGAAACTTTTTTTTTATTTTACCGGGATGTTGCTTAACAGAAGGACTAGGAATTGACCAAGTCGGTTGCTGTTGCTGTTGGTTACGCAATGCCTGAGCGTGCCTCTGTAACATTTGCTGTTGTTGTTGCGGATGTGGTGTCGGGGTAACCAGTTGTTTCGAGGGCTCTTGGCTCACTGTTATGGCACACATATTCACCAGACTTAGGCATAGTTTTGCTTTATTTTATTTACACGCGAGAAATTCACAAAAAAAAACGAGAGAAGAAGATTTAAAAAATTATGCAGCTTAAATTTTTTATATCTAACACTGTGAGTAACAGATTTTGATCAACCATTAATTTGAAAATCAGTATAAAATTAAAAGAAAAAATATATAAACTGCATATTTTTTATCCTCAATGAAAATTGTACTTTAGAAGCCGAGTATTGTGTACTAATGAAAAGTTGGAAGAGAAATGTAGCTGTTATTGACTACAATTATCTAAAATTTTTAAATAATTGTTGATTTTAAATAACTTTATTAAATTGAAAAATATTTTCTTTTCCTGTCTTTGCTTTTATTTTATGAAACAAACGTAACATCTATTGATTCTTAATGATGTAATAACTTGAATTTTGAATTATTATGAGGCAGCTGGAAGACCGCTCTTTTATGCATTGGAGATAAAGAGTCATAAATAATACGATTGTTAATTAGAAAAAACAATGAATATTATACTCATCTTTAAGTTACACACTCACTACTTATCAAAGTGTTTACATAAGAAAGTTAAATAAAACAATCTAAACTATTAAAAATAAAAGAAAAGAATATATGCTGAAATAGATCGAAGAAACAAACACACGAGTAAATAAGTGTTTTCGATGCAAAAAAAACTTGAACAAAGCAAAGTATAGCAAAAAAAAAGTGTAACCTGTAAAAGCATGCAGAGAGAAAGCAGCCAAAGAAAAGATAGAAAGACAGTCAGGAGAGTATCTAGGGTTAGGAGATATCAAGCATAGCAGTTTATTATAAAAAAAATCTATGAAAGTGCAATTAGCCACAAATGCATGAGTCATTGTTTGAATGATTCAGCCTTCGTATTGCCTAGTTTTTGTTTTATGGGCTTATGTATGGCGAACAATGGTTATGAAGATATGTTGCTCAAGCATTTACTACAAACATTTGGCTGGCAATGATACAATCGTTCATTGATTGAATATACGTTACGATTTGTTCAGTACACCGACAGCCAGGAAATACAAAACTTAAATAACTACTAGACTATAAAGATTCTCCGAAATCGAAGCGTGTTCTTTTACTTATAAGTTATTTGCAACAACAAATTGTACAATTCTTTTCTTTTATAGGTAAATATCACCGTTTTAGTTACTGTAGAGCTCGTGCTTTCTTATCTATACATTAGGATTCTATTTAATCACAAGTGTATACAACAACTGTTATTGACGAAAATAGATATAACCCGTTATATCTTAATTATAGCTTAATTAAATTATATTTAATATACGAATATGAAAAAATACATTTAAAGTTAAAAAAAAGAGTCAATCAGCCTCAACAGCGCTGTGTTTTTGAACATCCATAGTATTCTCACAAACGGCTTGACTTAGATTTTCGTTATCGTTTCCGTCTTGAGAACTCATTTGCATGTCATTGTCAACGATTGTTTGATCGTTGTTATTGGCATCATTAACTTTAGCGTTAATCTCATTAATATTATTATTATTATTATTAGTTATAGGAAAGTATTTTATCATTTCTAACTTTGCAGCCGCTTTAATCATCAGAACTTCCTCGACAACGGGAAATTTACTAATAATAGAATTTGTTTCTTTTACTAAAGTTTCACTAATACTAGCGTCCGTTTCATTCTTAATTTTAGGGTTGTCTTTTGCTATATCAGCGTAACTCTTTTCAGTAATTATTTCATTGGTAAAATTATTTTGCTCAATTTTAATAACTTTATCAGTGTCTATTCCTGTATCACGGCTAATATTTTGAGCGCTAAAAGTACTCGGTTCAACCTTAATTTTAACCAGGACACTAGGACTATTTTTTTCAATGCAAATACGCTTCGATTTCGGAATAATTTTGGATTCACTGTCATCAGAAGTGCAACTGTCGGGGCTTTGAAGCAACTTTGACCGTGGCATCTTGGCGACAAGAGGCATAGCACGAGATCGCCGCTGGGCAAATTCAATTTGTGTACAGGTAAGCATCGCACCCTCAGGTTCTTTGTCGGCGGTCATTTTGCGCAGCACAGAGGTCGGCGTAAATGCCAATGGCGTTGGACTGTGCGTCTGCTTGTTTGCCGCGGTTGAATTCACTGGCGTGCCTGAGCGCTGCTGCTGTTGTTGCTCTTCCTGTAACTTGCGTAAATTATCGCGCTGCTCCTCCAGTTTCTTTTTCAGCAACGCAGTCTGCATCACAGACTGAGCATGAGCTGCCATCTCGCGGGGAGATGGAACTCGGTGACGCATCGCTGTAAAAAAAGACAAGTATTGTATAATTTTATGATTATTGCTTTATTTACAATATAAATATCGCTATATACCACTATTCAAAGGCGATGGTATTCTTTGTTGCTGCTGTTGATACAGCATGTGTTGAAGCAGGTGATCCTGTGGCGTCGGAACATTTGGATGTGGGCTGACGGTTCGAGGTGGTGTGTTGCTATACACCTTCAAAATATTCATCAACACCTCTCGGTGACGATGCTGCATAGCGGGATTCTGCAAAAAGTATCAATATTCACACATTTTTTATCGAGATAATTGACGATTCGAAATTTCGATTTGGTACCTGAAGCTGTTGAACAAGATGTTGCCGGGTAATCTCGCCCTGTTGAAGTCCCCTAATAATAGCCTCGGCCTCGGGCCTTTGTAATAGTTCTCTTGTGGACGGTGCGCTATTCATCATCATCTGTACTTCTGGAGGAATGGGACTGGCGCCGACCATTCTTTGTGGTGGTTGCTGTTGCGGTTGTTGCTGCATCATCATTGTCAGCATTTGCGACTGCTCCTGTTGTCTTTGTTTTTGTTGAATCTGCAGTACTTTCATGAGATTTTCATGTTGCATCTGTGACTGATGAGAGTTCTGCACTGGACCTAAGGGGCCGACGTGATTGAAGGGCGGTGGCATCTGTCTCGGTAGTTCTGGTTGTGGTGGCTTTGGTGGCGGTTGCTGGTTCTTATATGATGAGTTGAGCAACTGCATCAACGTGATTGGCTGCTGAAGAGTATGTTGCTGTGGTTGAGCAGGTGCTGACATTGGTGGCCTTTGGGAAATCGGACCATTCGTTGCTGGTACTGCTTGACCTCCACTTACTTGAGCAAGCTAGGATCGTCGAAAAACAATGTTACTACTTAGTTGTATTTCAATTTACCTGAACCGACATGTGAGTTGTTAACAAACTTACGAGTTTCTTGAAGGCTGACATATCTTCATCGCTTTGTTTCAGTTTTGGTGGCTCTGGTTGAGGTGGTATACCGCCGCGCATACGAGCTTCCAATTCTTCCAAACTTACAACTTTTCCACCTCCTGATGAAAATTATATACAAATTATTTGTATATGCACCTATGTTTTCACACATGATTATGACATGAAAAACATATTTTACCCATCTCTTTGATCGATGCGCTCTTCATCATCGATTGAATAGAAATACCAGAAGCCTCAGCAGGTCCGTTTTGGTTGAGTGGTTTGTTGTTCCTCTGGAGCATTTCTAACAACTTGATACCACCAGACTGCCGATGAGACGGAGGCATGGCATTGTTATTCATATGCGTATGAGCTGCTGGCGAAATGGGCGCAAAGTACTTGTTGGATTCGGACGCTGTTGGAATTTGTACATCTGACTCATTATTCAATAGATCTTTCAGTAATTCATCTTCAATAGAACGTGGCATTGAGCTTTGTAGTTGTTGCTGCTGCTGCTGCTGTTGCTGTTGCTGTTGTTGCTGTTGCTGTTGCTGTTGCTGCTGCTGCTGTTGTTGTTGCTGCTGATTCTGCAACGGTGGACTTTCACGCTTGAACCATCGACTGAAACGCGAACCGCCACCAGAATCGTTCGAGCCTACGCCGTTCTGGAAATTGAATATTTTTTTTGTACTAAAAGAAAATGTTTTTGTCATCACGATTATACCCTACGTTGAGTGTTCTTAAATATTATATTATTTTTCTTAAAATCAAACAGATCTTTCTACAATGGCATACAGTTAATATAAAGTAAACCTGATTTCATGAAAGTACAATAAATTCTATAAAATTATAATAATGCAATATTCAAATTAAGGCTGTAAAAAATGAATAAAATTATTTTTAAACTCATCGTCATTTTAACATTTTATATAACGTCATTTAAATAACAGAAGACAAACATTACATAAAGTACTTACAGACAGAAGTCCAGATACATTAGAAAAGTTATCGTTCTTGAGGAACTCATCGAGATTGAATCCTTCGAGGACATCTTTCTTTTTGACCACATTATTGACGTTGTTGTCAGGTTTCACATCAGCAGAAGACTTCTTGTCATTGGCTTGTTCGTTGCCTTCATTTTCCTTGTTTTCATCTTGCTCGGAGATGGGTGAATGTGGTGCGACCGCTGCGTTCATCGAGACATCCAGAGAGGTCGGTGTACTTCTACCCTTTGGTCCACCGCCACCACTTTGTTGTTGTTGTTCGGCTGCAGCTTTTTCCGCGGCAGGTGCCGTTGAAGCTGCAGCTGCCGCGGCGGCGGCTGCCGCCGCTGCTGCCGCAGCTTTTTCTTCCTTCTCCAGAGCTTTCTTATTGCGTTTCTTTTGCGCTGGTGACTGTTTCTTCGATTTGGCCGATGAGCCCATTGTTTTATCCTCAGGTATGTCCTCAAAACCTCGCAACTCGATGGTATCGTGCTGGGAAGTCGGTCCTGAACTGAACCATTCTGGCTCCTCCGGTTCGCGCGCGTCATTATAAGTACGCCTACGGTCATCGCCGTACCTGAAGCAAAAATGAAAGCAAAAATATGACAAATTTAGTCAGCGACCGGTACGTACACATAAAAATCAAAACTTACCTTCCACGATCACGGTCCCTACGATCCTTGCCTCTATCTATTCGATCGCGATCGCGATCTCTATCGCCGAAATCACGACCGAACGAGCGTCTATCGAAGCGTTCATCGCGGTCACGTTCACGATCACGGTCACGATCACGGTCGCGATCACGGTCACGTCGATCGCGATCACGATCACGATCACGATCACGATCACGATCGCGATCGCGATCGCGATCACGATCTCGATCTCGATCACGATCGCGATCGCGATCCCCTGCACCGGGTCGATCGCGTTCACGATCACGCTCCGACCTGTTGAAGTTGACGTAATCCGGGTCGTGTTTTTCATTCTCCGGGCGGAAGTCCCACATGTCTCGTGCCAAGATTCGACCGCTGCCAATTCTACGACCTGGCTCGCGATGGGATATCTGCAAAAACGCATGGTCATTAAATGAAAATTACATTTCGACGGACAGTAAAGATTTATCAATCGTTTGCGTTACCTCAGCTTTGCCAATAGGACTGACAGGTCGTTTACTCGAATTGGCCTGCTGCTCAGTGACGTTGACAAAGCAGCCGGAATTGAAACTTCGTCGTTGAGGACTCAACACAATACCATCCTGCTCTTTGCGAATGCGTTCGCGCGGGTCGCCGCTGCCACTGCTACTGGCACTACCACCACCGCCGCCACTGCCACCGCTTCCACCGGAACGTCGTTTCGTTGGATGACCCTCGTCGTTGTTACCAGCGCCACTGCCACTACGATCACCGCGAGCAACGTCGTCAGGTGGAGTCTCGCTACGCTTGCGGTCCAGATGCCAACGTTCGGGATCCCATACTCCGCGCGAGCTGTGAACGAAACTTCGTGTGGTTAGCCGACGAAGGATAAAAATATCGTCGAGCGGGCAACGTACTTGTTGTAGGCAGGATCCAAACAGTCGGGTTTTCGTTTAGCCAACGGTGTTACCCTGATCTTCATCAGTTCTTCCTACGAAGAGAGATAGACGAATAGGTTATCTATTGCGCAAACGAGGTAGAACCCCGAGGGAGCCCGGCCAGGGAGAGAGGGAGAGAGGGAGAGAGGGAGAGAGGGAGAGAGGGAGAGAGGGAGAGAGCACGAACGTGATGTTTTGATTAACGAAAATGCACTCACCCTCGTGTACACGTACTGAGGTACCGAACGTCCGACCTCGACGATAGAAGTGTCAGTGACCTCGCCTTCGATCGACATCGCGAGGATCGCCTCATCTCCTTTACGCACAAAAACAAACAAAATCGTTGTCGATAAAGAGGAATGTTCGCATCACTCCTCGTTACAAAATGCGCATATATACTGTCAACATAACGGGTGAAATCTGCTCTCGCGCCAATGTTTATTGATTTTTTTGTTGTGTACTCACGAAATCCAAAATGATCGCTGCGGTGCAACGGGCCACCATTAGCACTCGCCCACTGGTAAGCCTTGATCTTGTTTGGACGCGCGAGGGCACGGTCGAGTTTTGGATTGCCCGTGCCACCACGGCGTTGTGCTTTCTTCGTTGTTGTTGTTGTTGGACGATTATCCGACGTTACTACTATCTGAACCATCTTGCGACGCGTTTACTGGTGCTTTGGGATCGCTATTTCGAAGACGCGACACGCACTGTTTCAAATACTTTTAGTTTCTTTGACGAGCCTGCGTGCGTGTACGCGCGTGGAAGAGGCGAATCGCGATGTTTGTCGCGTGTGCTTGCAATTATTTTTGTGAGAACAGCAAGGGCAGTCCGAAATGCTACGGTTAGAGCGACACAAACGCGTTGAGTATAGTCTGCAAACTATTAACGCGTCTATATATACTGGAGAAAATTCAAAAATAATCGTTGAATTTCGAAATAAAACCGCTCTCGATGAAATATCATGAGCAAGTAAATATTATTGAAGGCTCGTTAAACACGTAATTTCAAACACTTTTACGACCTCACATCAAAATTCCCTTATCCACGATAAGAGAAAGAAGAGAAAACCGAGAAGTCCCGCTCTTTTACCTTTGGTGAAACGAAGAAAAATCTTCCCTTGCCAGAGCGAAGAAAAAGAAGTCGTTGAACGCCGCGCACGTTTGTGTATCAAAATTTCAAATCGGCCGATGCCCGCAAGTCTCGAGCGCTTTGTTTACTTTTCGGCTTTTGAAGGACACTCACTCTCGCCCTGCGACTCACGCAATGCGAATTTATAATGGCTGCCTTTTAATTAGAGAAACTCGATCGTGTTTCCTGTATATGAATTTCGTATAATTCAGTTCGTTTATCATGAGTGCGTACGTGAAATCAAAGACGAAATAAGAATAGAAGTTAATTGTGTTATACCGGGGAAGGAAAAAATAAACAAATAAAAATGCTTTACGTACCTATTGTCGACGAACGATATAAAACGAAAGTCGTCCACGTGATAAAAAGAGTGAAGCTTAAAAAAAAATGAAGAGATGTACCGTCGGCGATGTCAAGTAGAGAAGGACCAGTAAGCTATGAACCAGCACAGTCGGCAATCGAAGAACAGACTGATGAACCTTTTGCCGGCTTCTGAATAAAGTCGCGTATTGTAGGTAGATAGATAGCTACATGATTGGCAGAATTTCGCGACGATGTAAATACAGAGGGCATACTCGCTCCCCCGCCTCGCCACTTACGCTTTTAACTTTCCGCGGGTTTCCCGATTAAATTTTTGTTTGCGATACGAGGTAATAAATTGTTCACCGTTCGAATGTAAAAAATTTAGACCAAGATTACATTTTCAATCAATATTCGAATTTCGCTTGCAAGTATTTACAACAAAAACAAGTTTTGATAGTTGTTCGCGATGAAGATAAAATAATTATTTCAACTAAATGTTCTGATGAGGTATCAAAGTGTGGTGGTTTCTTTAAAAGACTAAGAGTGCAAATAGAAAGTACCAGAACAAAGTACAGTTACAGCTGTTATTCATGGACTTTCTACCTACAAATTAAATAGCTATGCTATAGGTGATAGTATAATTTCTCTCTCTCTCTTTCTCTTTCTCTCTCTCTCTCTCTCTCTCTCTCTCTCTCTCTCTCTCTCTCTCTCTCTCTCTCTCTCTCTCTCTCTCTCTCTCTCTCTCTCTTTATTTATTTCAAAAAAAATTTATAAAAAAAGAATGTAATTTTGCATCATTCTATACTGTAATCTTTACTTCAAAAGTACCACTGAGATGAAGGGATAGGTTATGTCACTAATTTGAGCTACGCTCAGGCTCAATCAGGAAAGAATATAAGAGATAAAGACTACACAGCAAAAACAAAACAATGAGACAATCTCAACTACTTCAGTTCTTTAACTATTATGAATACTTGAAGCTAATTGCCATTAATTTGTTTGCAGTATGAAAACTATAGAAATAAGTTCAAAAGAAAAGACTGAATTCAGAGTAATGATGAAAAATAACTTCTTCATGATGTTTAAACATTTTTCAAACAATTTTATGCAATAAATGCATATAATTCCTATCAATAATGATAATGGATCTTTTGTTTCATACTTTACTTATTATTGCTTTTAGAAATAAGTTTTTTTCAACTTTATAAGCAAAGTGATGTGTGTGCATAGTTTCATAGCTATAAAGTAAATGATCGAATACACCAAAACTAATAGTTTACAGCATTTAAAAAAATAGCACTGTTTATATCACTTTGATTTAATCATTTCTTTATACATAAAAAAGCATTGAATACATGAGTAGATAGTTAAATTTCTATCACTATAAACAATGAAGCTTATTAATAATTTACAAGAGCACATAATTTGTGTCAAACATAACTTTGTTAACCATTTTGAGAGTAGATTTCATTGTTAAAATTTGACAGTATATAACATTTGCCAAATGTAAGGAAATAGTAAATAGCAAATCAAGTGAACTTACTTTCTGATTCATTATCAGCCTCAACTTCATCTTTGGGATCCAGTGTAGGTTTGTCACTAGAAGCAGATACACTGGACATGATTCAATTTGCTTTCTGGCTCAATCTTGAATATACACTGCTTAAATTTTTTCAGCTGGATTCGTGCTTTTGTCTCTGTCTCTCTCACACTAACACACTTTTTCATACACACACCCTTTCTTACAAAAAATGGTCCTTTCTCTCGTTCTCCCTGTACGCTCGTGTTTTCTATATACCTAACTATGTATACGTAGCTTACTAATGTACTGTTTAATATCACAGACTCGTTTGTTATCTTGCGATCTTGTCGAGAGCGTTTGGAGTTTTTATGTAAACTCGTCACATATCCTTGGACGACGATAACGATGATGATAACGATGATGATGTCGACGATGATCCTCTCGCGCGCGCGTTTACTTTTGGTGTGTGTGCGATTCCTATGCAAAAATAGAAAATGGCGCAGACCGTGGGGCTCTCTCACTCACACACTCTCTCTCTCTCTCTCTCTCTCTCTCTCTCGTCGATTAAGGCGTCTTATATGATTCTCTTGCTCCTTTTTTTTTTCTTTTTGCATATAGACTCTTCTCGGCAATCGATTTCTTTGATGTGTCTTCGACAATCGTTTTGACTTCTGCTCGATAACTTGCGTCTCTCAACCCCTTTGGCAACTATACTCTCCTCAACCAACTCTCACAGCGTAACTTGCAACATACACGGTTTTTTATCTGCGGCTTATGCTTGCGCGCACGTCGGGCAGTGACGGCCTATGCACAACGAGACGCCCCCTTGCACAAAATATGAGCTTCAGTTTGTTGGCACTAGAGGGCTTTAAACTATATGACACGTCAGTCAAACTTATACGAATTATTATGTTTTTCGGGAAATTTCGACGACATTTTAATGATTTAAAAACAAATAGGAGTTTACCTGCTACTTTTTATATATGTTGAAAGATTGTTGAATTATGACGATGTAGGTTATTAAAATTTTTTTTACACTGAAAGGGAGATTTGTTTGAAATACTCGGCATTTTAATGTCCATTGTGACGTCATTTTCTTGGAATGATCAAAGAATCAGGAAAATATAAACGTGGTGCTTGTTTGATTGCAAAATATTTTGCCTCAAAATAACAGCAAGTATTCGAGTGTCGGCCGAATAATTTTAAACATGTTCGTTTAAAAATGGATTCCAAGAAAAACTTTGTTCACTTCCGTTTCACCAGAGCTATTGTTATTAAATACAAATACGATTATTCAAAATTATTCTACCATATCAATGACCATGTAATAATAAAAGTTCTAAAAGTTCTATGCCAATCGTATATTTTATACAAGTGAAGTAGCTTCTTAAGTTTCTTTTCGGAACTTTAGAGTCGCATGAAAACTTTTTAAAAAACCGTTGTAAAAAATGTGTCTTAAGTGTGAAATAAACTCGTTCGACGGTTTTTCGCTAAGTTGTTTATTGAACAAAACTACAGTAGTAAGGTATGTTGATAAAACACACACATACATATATATTTTTTTATTTATTTTTTGTAATTCTCTTGGTTTTAACAATTTTCAAAAAATTCTAAAATGTAAACAAGCAAGTTAGGAAAATTGAAAAAAAATAGCTTAGAATTTGATACGAATTAATATTAAATTTATTTCGTAATGTTAATTACAATAGCCTAATTAATTGCATTACTCAAAATAATGCTTCCTTATAATTATTAATTTTGACTGTTGAAAAATATTTATCATATTTACAATTTCTACTTAATTCTTATATATTATCTTAGTCCTTGGTAAATTGTTTAAAATGTTCCATCTATTTTGCAAATAAAAACTGCACATAAATCAATAAAATTATGTAATACTTCACAACATTAAAGTGTAATAAAAATGATCCTGAAATGCATTATAGTTATTTCAACTAGAAAAAATGGAATGTACTGTTTTTTTTGCACAAACAAATTAAATGCATACAGATGTAAAATTATATTTTGGAGAAAGCATAATTGGCAGTTTTAAATTGTCTCTTCATTAATTAATGTTAAAATTATCCTAAGTTGATATAACATGGTTTGTAAAAACATCTTTTTCATCTACAGCTTTTTGCATTTCTTATTGAAGTATTGATAAAAAATGTTAATTATTTGTAGATCAATTAAAACATCTTATGACTATTAAAAAGAATAAATTTTCAATTTCATTAATTTATAATTTGTAAAGAAAGACAAAGTAATGTTTCAATTAAAAAGCTTTTGAAATAAAATTTCATTCTACTATTTTCTAATCCCATAAAATATGAGGTAAAATGAAAAATTGTATATTAGGTTGTGTCATTTGTGATAGTTTGCGGTAGTGAATTTAATGAATGTCGTCGTTCTTGTTGCTGCGTTTTTACCCATTGCCTGTGTTCACACAGGTAAGGATACAGGGGAACAACCATAACACTTATATCATCAACTGATGCCATTGATACTATCTCAGTTTCTTCACCATTCTCTTGTATCTCTGACTTCAATCTCCATGCTCTGCCTACAAGTCTACCTCTGGCTGCTTGAACTAACTCTTGTGCGCCCATTGTCAATCTAAAAATTTTGTTTATATACTAATATTTTTTCAAAGAGATTGAATAAATTTAGTGATAGAAAGTTTACCTATATTCTAATGAAGGATTATCAGGTGCAAGTGTTTTCCTAAGTATACTAGCTGCTGTTTTGTCAGAAACAACATCCCAGAGACCATCAGTAGCCATAACAATACAGTCCCTTTCCGTAAGATTGCATTCTTCTAAGTCTACTGATTGCACTTCTGGTTGAGATGACAAGAACGGCTTAATACTGACGCCTGTATTAGCTGCCTTTAAACCATGGTCTCCAAAACCACGAGTAACTCCTATTGTACCCATTACTCTGCTCTATAACAATTAAAAAATTAGATTTAAATTATTCTGTTGAACTGAGAGGAAATTAAAAAAAATATCAAGTGCCTTACTCTTTTACCCTGTCCAGATATAAGTGGTAGTCTTAGGTCAGGAAGGGACATCACTTTGTAAGCCCAACCTGTCATGTATGGCTCTCTGTACAGAATCATTGAGCCCAGATCTCTTTGTAAAGGTCTCTTTTTGAACTCCAATGGTGTAAATTGACCCTTCAATAGCTCTGGACCTTTCAGATGACCTAATCCCCTAACTCGACTCGACTCAGAGTCTGGTGTATGATCTCTTGTGAGTGCTTTTTCAGTTTCTCCAAGTACCATTATAATTCTATGTCACAGCCAAAGAATTATCGAATCGAAAAAACACTTGACAATAAGAAACTATAACTCACTCATTTACCTAGAATCACCAGCTCCAGCAGCATAAAGTCTACCATTTAAGAATAAAACTGTAAGGGAGGTACAGCCACCCCCTCCTCTTTGGGCTTGCTGCTCTACCATCTGGTCCATTTGCCTGTATGCCAGTTCAATTGCTCCGATCACTAATTCTTTCCCTCTTACTGTAGCTGCTTCATCTTCTGTTAGGATCATGTCACCTGGTATTGCCATTAACCTTTCCTAAAAAGTTTATTTTACACTTTTAGCAACAATTTGCAGAATTAATATGTGAATAAAAATCATTCAACAGAAATTATACCAATATTATTCTATGCAAGTGTAATCTTGCTGTTAGAGCCACTTGATAGCCAGCATGGCCATCAAACATAGAAAACATAACATAAGGTAAACTTGTGTTTGAGTCCGTTAGCTTCAAATCACCCCGCATTGCGGTAGCTTGATCTTCATTCCATGTACTTTTTCCTGCATTTATGCATTCGGCATAACCAGCACACCATGGCAGTCTGCTCAGATCTCTGGGCACTATAATTGGTCTCACTCTATGATCTGCACTCACCTGAAATAATATTATTTATCAATAAATTTATTTATTGATAATAGCACAAATTATTTTATAAGCAGTTGACAAATAGAATTTTACCTGAGTTTCTTCATTTGTCAAACCAAGAAAACTTGGTCTACTGTATGGTTTAGTTTCAACAGTAATTGGTAAATTAGAGTTTATCAAGTCAGTAACTGATTCATTGTCCAAATCATTAGGATACTGCAAACCTAATTCACTTGCACCAACTGCACTCATAAGTGCTGTCTTAAATTTTCCAAACATATCTATGTTGTTATTGTCTTTATGAATATGTTTGATTGACTTAAATTAATTAAATAAAGCTTTCACATTAAAATATAAGTAATACAGCCCTTATATGTCTTTAAAATGCATAGTTAAAAATATCTTTTAATAAATAACAAGGAATGTTAGTTATGTTGTATTTCATATTGGTTTCACATAGTCCACCTGAAACCAAAATTTTATTGATCAAAATTTATTGTATTAATTAGAAATATTTACTAGAGCAGTTCTTTTAATTTACTATCTACTGTAGCATTAAGTTTTATAAATTTTTAAACACATTCGAGATAAGGGTAATAGTGCTTAGCTTGTCACACCAGTTGAAATAGAATATAGATTTTCACTTTTAGATATAAAATAAATATTACAAAATATTCAAGTTTTCAAAAATATTCATAGTTATTGTAGTTAAGTTATTGTAGTTAAGTTTTTGTAAAAAATTAAAGTAGATGCAAACATCCTGAAGACTCATTATATAAATATGACTCACCTGGCTGCACGTTTGTCACGTTCAGCTTTTACACCTGAATGCCATACAAAAAACTAGTTGAAAGGTGTTTAAGAAGTAGGTGTTAGACTTGAACGTAACTGTTAAGTGTCACTCATAATTTCAGTTTTGAAGTGTTGTATTATTTCTTTGTTGATAAGTGGTCGACATTGATAGGATGCAAATCTCGTCGTTGTCGAGGATTTACGACGAAATCGCGATATCGTCACTAGTATGCCACATTTCTTACACTCTATGACAACGAGATAACGCGCAGACGACGACGATGGAGGTTAGGTGTGTGAATTGACGTCTACCCGCGAATAGGGAAGAGTGCAAACAAGAAACAAAAATATATACATCCGTCAGTTCAGTCGTGGCACCTTTTACTCTCTCCCTTTCTCCCAATCACATAGCGCGCAGACGCCACTGTGATCAGCTGGTTTTCAATAATGCAACACCGGCGACTCCTTTAATTTTTTTTCATTTTCTTGAGCTTTTGATGATTTTTCATTTTATAACAAGTGAAAAATGATGGACAAGCGGAAGAAAATTAAGAGGTCCAACTTTTCTAGCGAGGTTTGTATCATTTCTATTGTTGTTTACTTATTTTATACAATCATGTATTATTCAAAAGTTTGACTAAATATTCGTTCTTTGATGTATTTTTTGCTTATGACACAAAATTTCATAAAAAGATTATTATAGATAGATAGATTATATTAGATAAATATCTCAATTTTTATAACCAAACATGTTATAAAAATATTTGGATTTTAAGGAATCTGACAATAGCTCCATAAGCTCTTCCATAACATCCTCGTCATCCTCTGATGAGGAAACTGATGCAAAAGATTTAAAACCTATCAAAGAATATTTGTCAAATCGAAAAGAACTTGCATCTCAACTCTTCAAATCAGTGAAAGCTGAAAAAATACGTATGATGCTGCCTCAAATTCTTAAGGTAAAAAAGTTTATAAAAGGTTAGTTTACTCTCAGTATTTATTGTGATTCTTGTTTCCTTACAGAAAATTGAATTTAGTGACTTGGAAGAGTTATGTGCCAATGAACTAACTGGCATGTCTAAAGCAAGGATAATGAGTATATTAAATGGGCAAGAGATGCTGCAGTCATCCAATACAGAAGATTCTGACGACTCAGGTTAGTTTTCAAGGAATATCAATAATTAACTAACTTAATTTTCATATAACTTCTAAAACTTACTTTGTAGGTCCATCGCTTGAAATTGTTTCTGATACTGAATGGTTAAGTGATGATAAGTCAAGTATAAAAGTTGAAGGTGCTAAATTGAAAAAAAATTCTAAGAAGTTAAAAAAATTAAATAGTAAATTTAAAAGTAAATTGAATGAAAAAGGGAAAAATGGGAAGTTGAGCTCAAAAGTTAAAGTAGAAAAGGTAAAAATCGAGGGCAAAAACAAAGCCAAAGAAAAGCCTAAAGAAAAAGAGAAGGAAGGTGAAAGTCTTTTGGATCTTTTAGAACTTGAAATGAGAGCTCGAGCAATTAAAGCATTATTGAGAAAAGAAGATGAATTACCTGCTACTTCATTGGAAGGTCTCAAAAATCAAGCTTCAGGATCTGGAATCTTGAGTAATGTTAGTGTGCAAGCAAGGCAGGCAAATTTGAAAGAACAGCTTGAAAAAATTGATGTTTTAATGAAACATGGTGATGATGAGGATGTATATGTTGTTATAAATCCAGCTCCAACAATAGAATTACTTTCAAGTGATGATGAAAAAGAAAATCAATCCAAAAAGTCTCGAGATCATCCAAGCCCAAGTAAAGTAGCACAAAACGGAGAAAGAGTTGAAGTGAAAGAGAGAACAACAGTTTTAAATAAACTTATGAATGTTGATAAAAATACAAATGAAAATCCTCAAGTTAATATAAAGAAAGGGAAGGATGCAAAAGGAAAAGAAAAAGGTAAACATAATGGAAATTCTAATTTACCAATGAGTGTAATTGAAAGTAACAATGATGACAAAGTTGAAAGTCCAAAAGAGCCATTAAAAGAAGAAGAGTTAGAAGAGGGAGAAATTATTGACAACGAGGATGATGAAAAAGAACAAAAGAAAGTCTTGAAAGCAGATGTGGAATCACTGATGAAAGAAAAAATAAAAAAGATCAAAAAGAACCCGAACATCAGGTCTAAAAAGAGTTGCAAGCAAAGTGATAGTGACTCTGATAATGGAATCGTGACGAAAGAGATGCCCGAGGCTGAAAATATCGAAGTTAAAAAAAAAGAAACAGTAGTCGAGCCTATAGAAATAAAAGATTCACCCGAACGGAAAGCATCGAACGATCCAGGGTCAAGATCGCGCAGAAATTCGAATACAAGTTCGCAACTTGACGTTGATGATGATAAAGCATTAGATATCGAGGAGATTATTAATCTAGATGATTATCCGGACGACATGGATGAACCAGAGAAACCAAAATCTCTTGAGCCCCAAATTAAGCAATTGGAACAATCGACGGCAGGTTCAAAGTCGGAAACTTGGGCGTCTCGTTATGTACAGCAAGATGAGGTACAAAGCGTCATACGAGAGTCGAAGATTCAGTCGGAGATACGTAAACGATTGAGGGAGAGACAACGACAAAGTAAATTCAACAATTCATCTAAGGAATCGGAAATATCGACACCCGAACCGATTACAGTTCTAACAACTACAGGTTCAGTCGAGGAATATTTAGCTTTGAAAAGACATGCCGAAGGCGATTTGACAGCAGATGAATCTTTGAGTCAAGGTAAGACTGACGTGACGATTGACTCATCAGTAGTAATTGTAAAAAAACCTCAGCTCATTTTGTCGTTAAAAGTCAAGGAGCAACAAATTGAAGAGCTAGTCGTTAACACTAAGGAAGAGCAAACTTTAGACACAAACGTCGTGAAAAAGTGTGAAAATACACCCGAAAGGACTATAGTTATCAAGGAAGATTCGTCGTTGAAAGACAAACGCGTAGTCCTTGTAAGACCAAAAGATGATCTAAACAGTGATTCGAGTGACGATAACGTGACAGTCAAGATCAACAATAGTTCATGGAACGACTCACAACACTCGGAGCTTCGATCGGATTAAACCCCACATCTTTTTCATTCTACGTCAAACTATCAGTTTTATTATTATCATAATTAATTTACATGCGGTTCTTGGAATGACCCGATTCAAATTTGAAGTCCTCGCAGTAGAACTTATCGTTCTACCTTTACTGGTCACTGTGAAATCTTGCAGACTCGTACGACAATATTGTCGACTGAAATCCATTGCTACCAAACAGCACGTCTCTTATGTTCACGCAAAGGCGATTTATCATTGCAATTAAACTGAACTATAAAATTTATTTGTTGTATATAAGTTTTAGTTTCGCTTATAGATGATATTTATTGATTAATTTTTGGTTTTGAAGTGTAACAAACATTAGAAAATTTTTTTTATAAAATAGTTCAACAATGATAGCCATCTAAAAGACTGGTCATTGAAAAACTTAGCAATTTAAAAGATTTTCTCACGTGAAAATAAAATGATTTTATTTTGATACAAGAATTCTCTTGATAAACATAAGCAATAACTGAATATCGTCAATAAATCAATTTATAAATAAATCGTACACTATACATTTCTTAAATTTGAATTATTCGTATTACATAATGTTCTTTGTAAAACACGTGACCTTCTAAGATTGCCGAAAGTAAAAATAACGTCTGTGCATTGTGCGTGGTTTGAACTATGTAATTCTCCGCTCAAAACTATTCCATTGTGCGTTCTTCGATATACAGTGCCGCTCACGCACTTTTACCCCCCCACGGGCAAAATCAGTCTAACTTCAAAGTTTTATATCTCTGGTAGAAATTAACGTACAGAGACGCGCGTCGGTGCGTTTGAAAGGTCTTTCGGAGAGCTTTCAAATGATATGATTCACGGTTGCCATCGATTGTTTTTTTAAATTTTGCAACAATTATGCAAAATTGAAAATTCTGAAATTTTTTTATTATTTTTGACAAATAGCCAATTTTGGAAAAAAAATAGTACAAAAATTTGAAGTACGCCACTTTTTAGCTATTACCAAGCCCTATCTGAATCACTCATCAAAAATTTATTTTCGTCAAATATGACGCGCGCACGGGCATTTTTTCCTGGAAGTGACAGTTTTTTTCAACATTTTTTATCTCCGTCAAATTGTAACAATCGAAAAAAATTTATAGGAGAAAAAATGTTTGTTGTTTCACGTAGAATACTGCAATAATTTTTTTTTTGGTTTTTCGAAAAATTTTTTTTTTCGGTTTAAATTATTTTTCAAGGTCGAAACAAAAAAAATTTTTTTTTTTATGTAATTTACGATACTTGTTATGTAGTATTATTGAATGGATGGAAAAAAATTTTTTTTTGTGGTTTCTCATCTTTTTAGCGTACCGACTGTGAGAAAAAAAAATTGAAAAAAACCGAAAAAAAAAATTTTTCGAAAAACCAAAAAAAAAATTATTGCAGTATTCTACGTGAAAAAACAAACATTTTTTCTCCTATAAATTTTTTTCGATTGTTACAATTTGACGGAGATAAAAAATGTTGAAAAAAACTGTCACTTCCAGGAAAAAATGCCCGTGCGCGCGTCATATTTGACGAAAATAAATTTTTGATGAGTGATTCAGATAGGGCTTGGTAATAGCTAAAAAATGGTGTACTTCAAATTTTCGTACTATTTTTTTTTCCAAAATTGGCTAATTGTCAAAAATAATAAAAAAATTTCAGAATTTTCAATTTTGCATAATTGTTGCAAAATTTAAAAAAACAATCGATGGCAACCGTGAGTCATATCATTTGAAAGCTCTCCGAAAGACCTTCCAAACGCACCCACGCGCGTCTCTGTACGTTAATTTCTACCAGAGATATAAAACTTTGAAGTTAGACTGATTTTGCCCGTGGGGGGGTAAAAGTGCGTGAGTGGCACTGTAACTCATCATTGTTTCACGAGATCAAGAAAAAATGTCAAAAGGTTTCTTCAGTAATCGCGGAATAAATGCCGTGCTGGTGTCTGGTTTTGAATGACGCCATTTCTCGCTATAAGATAACTACCATCTATTAATTTCACAATCAAATTCCACTTTACGATCAGGTGAAGAAAAATAAATTACATTAGAAACCATACCCTTTTATTGGTTTGTTGTTGTTCGTCAATTTGGGCGAAGTTACTTCGGGAAACTAACGTGTAAAATGTTTGACCAAATGGTTATAGCACAAAGATCTCTAGATGAAAGCTTTGCTCTGACCATGTTTTCGCAACGAATAAAAACTACAAATAATAAGATTATATTTATTATCTGTACAGCGTTCAAAGAAACAATGTACCTTTCGGTCAATTTATCTAATACGAAGAATTGGTAATCTTTCAAGCCGACATTGTAGTCGCTGATATTCTAAAATATAATATGTCGTTAATATGCGTCTAATTACAGCTTACGATGACTACGGACGAAACTCGTGATTTCGGTGTCATATTTTGTCTCATGATTGATGAATCTCAAACTGTAATTGTCAGCCTTTCCTAAAATTATTTGTTTTTCATAAAATCATTGTTGCAATTGAGTTATATGTTTTAATTACTTTTAATGCATATAAGCGACTCGTTGATAAATAGGTTGGTATAAGTTGTATCAGGATACAAGTACAGTGCCAAAATGTTACTGTTATAGATGAAATTAATAATTGATTCTGTTGCCACTACCGACATCGATTTTAATGTTAGGTGGCGAGCAATTTAAAAAGCGCAGAAAGTTATTTAAAAAAAACGTTAATTTAAATAAACTATATTTATACTTACTTAAAATTTCGTAGAGAAATGCCCATGAGGAAACATTAATTACGACCAGGAAAACAATTGCGTGTTAAGATATCTTTCATCGACAATTGACTGTACGATATATTAAAGCATCGATTAGTTTTCTTTACGTTCGATGATACTTTTCCTCTATTATCCTAAGATTAATAGAATTATCAGCCGCTTCATTCTCAATGTTTTTCAGAAGCAACATGGGACGCATCACGAATCTTATAAACGCTAAATTTTGATTGGTTCAGTGAGGTGTAAACGAGATCGATGCATTAGCCAACCGCTCATCGAGTATGAATTGAATGAAAATGAAAATTAAAGTATGTCTGACTTTTTTCCATTCGATTAAGTACATTATAAGCACGTATTTCTTACAGAACATTTAATAGATTGTCAATTCTTCGTCGAAGTATATACTTTGCCTCTGCGCCAAACAATAGCGAAATTTTAACGATCTTTCGGATCATCTTGATTCTAATTGCGGCGGCGACGTTTCAATGAACTTCTTTGAACGAGTGCATTAATAACTCACGGTTTTTTTTTAATCGATGTATTTTTTTATGCGTATTAGCCGATAGGTTATTTATCCTCTCAAAAAATCCAATAAGATATGTAATCGTTGACGTTGACGTTAAAAACATTCAAATGCAATTAGCGACTAATAAGCGTCCAAACAAAAATATGAATCTCATTTGGTAATAGAAAAAAAGTCTCGTTGAATTACCACGGCCTATACTTTTCGCATTGGAATTTGTCAAGATTGTGAATAACAAGCTCCGATAGTTTTTCCTCGATTTTGCCGACAATCTCGTCTTGCCACTTTTTCGTAATCCAAGTGATTAGTTTCGATAGTAATTTGTTCAACGGTCCCAAACCAGTGAGTTTCACTTTGATTTTGCCTAGTTCGCTCACGCGTAAACTCTCCAAGACTGTACGACATGGTTTCCGATTGTAATCTATTCCCACGACTGCTGATATTGAAACTCCATCGATGGTTGCCGATAATTGACCATTGACTTTTATTACGCCATAACGTAACTAAAAAAATAACGCGTTATGGCATCAAGTGGAAAGATCTTGCGAAGATTTCTTTTTGAATATGCCATTTACCTTATATTTTTGGTACTCCATGTAAGCTCTTCTGAGTCCAAATCCGCACGAGGCTACGAATTTCATGCCTGAGTGTGATAAAAGAGCGTCTTCGGTTCTTGCCAAACTCGTAAGATCTCTGGATTACATACATATCAAAATTAAAAAATTGTAATATTTAGAATTTTCATTTGTTTCCAAGATATTTTCTCGTAAACTTACTCGAAGGTTCCATCCAAAGAGTTGAATTCACCAGTAGTCTCCCACCAAGACGAACCGGTAGAAAAGTTTTGACTCATGTCGGGAATCTTAATCTTCCCAATATTTTCCTCTTTGATCTTCTTAACCAATTCATATACAGCTAAGTCTACGAGTTTATTGATCGTCGACTAACGAAGAACGCAAACAATTAAAAACCATTTTCTTCGTTTCTGTTTCCGCGACAATGAAGTTAAGTACCTGTAACCCGGCTGTATCAACAGTATCCAGATCCGATTTGGTAACAGCATGGAACAGTGCTTTCACTTCATCCACATCAACTTTCAGTTCGCCACTCTCGATACTCGAAAAAATCAAACCCATATTCGTAGTGGAATCATCAACCGGTACTGCGAGTCGTCCAAAATTGAACGGGTGCTCTTTGCCTCTCTTCAAATCCTTGTAATCAATTACACCTAACTTGTCGCACAATGTCGCTCGGGCGCACACTGCCGCTTGATGTATGATTTCCACTTGGAGCTCTCGCGGTGTTCCGGACGCCCTTAGGAACAAAAATGCAATTCCAATGGCTAATGAATGCTCAGGCTGCGCATCGTAAACTTATCGTACGCCGTATACTCACTCCTCGTGGCGGTTCCTCGATAAATACAAACTGCACTCGCTCAGCAGTCCTCGCTATAAGTGATCAACCGTTTTCGTTAGTTTGCATGAATAATCTCATCGACAATGCGTTACGCAAGCGTGGGTTTACCTTGAGGCGTGCGGTCCCGGCGATTTTCGAGTCGAATGTGCGACTGGCATCGAACGATTGCGAAAAATCATTGTCAGTTATGACGAGACCTGTCGAAGAGCGACAACTGAGTAGCAAAGCTCGACGCGAAAGTTGCAATTTACTCACCCCTAAAAATCACCCGGCTGTCGTTCACGAGAATGTTAACGAGCTCATTATCAGGATACTCGTAAACGGCCAATTCATTTCTATCGTAATTCACGTAGAGCAGCTGATCCTGTACAATTAGTTTGTGATTGCTGGCCAACGTTACCTCGTAGCTCCTCGGCGCTTCGCAGTCTGTAAAATATGTAGCGATGGAAAAATAAATCAATTGCCAATCACCGTACGAATCGTATTGGCTTCATTCTATCTAATATACTCGCTCAGTAAATTTTCCGAGAGCACTGATGATTCGCTCAGTATCACTGACGCTATCGTTAGAATTGCAATTGCTGACGGCATCGCTCATGAATTTCGACCTTGACCTTCTCTGCAATAATAAAACAAACTTGGTGTGATACACGTGCGCACCATTGTGTTGTTTCGTTTTCTGCGATGGATTTTTGATCTAACGATCGATTCGATACATTTTTAACGATTGAATAATACGAGGTTTATCGAGACCTGTTGATCGTCGATGCTTTTTTTTTCGTCATCAGACACCTTACCGGTGGGAAATTTCGGCGGATAAAAGTGCAAGTTATCTTACACAGTTCTAACACACAATTAAGAATGAAAGTATGTCGGCTGAGTTGTTTTTTCTAATTTTCTAAAAAGCTACTTTCCACCGGTGTAGTCCCGAGGTGTCGTGGATAATCACTGGTTATATGCGTGTAAATATCATGAGCATAACGACAGTCTCTCGTAGAATGAAGACAAAGAATGACAACACTAATAGACAAATTCAGATGAAAAATTCACCCAGAACGAGATATACACGAATACTGGCAAGCACACAAGCTGTTACCATAGCGCAGAACTGACCAACAAACGATTATTATAATCGTAATGTTCTCTTCCACAAAAAAAAGGCTAAGGACGTGTGCCACACACAAGCGTCGCAGCACTCGCAGCAACAGCGTTTAACGTACTACACTATGAGCTGTTCTCGGCCCAGCTGACTGTGATTCACCAACACAAACGCGTCGCACAGGCGCGCAAGGAAGAAGAAATGGAGTTGAATGCGCACGCGTATATCGGTCCTCGTACAGCTCGCACGGTCTTTTGATTATATATATGGATCAGGAGAATTTTAGCTTGTAAAAAGGGTGAGTATTTTTTTTCGAAGGCCGTTGGATAATTGTTTTATGCATCCTTCTAGTACCTTATTGCCATAGTCTTGTGGATAAGTATTTGGATATGAATGATTTCTGCGAGTTAAACACTTTCGTAGACTTTTGTAGTTTCATAGTTTTATACATTACTTTTTTCCACTTTTTGTATTTTGCTACATTAAAATAATCAAGTTTATCTTAATTTCCACTATCACGCTTTTTACCAGTGTATTTATTACATCGTTTCATAAATACCAGATCATAATTAGTCTACCCGGAAGTGGTAAATAATATTTACTTGGGGATATTGATATTTCCTTCCATGCCAACAAATGAAATGAATAAAAAGTTCTGATGTTCACCAATTAATCGGAGCGTCGGTAGATAAAAAATAACGATAGTCATGGTAAAATGCAAATAGTTTACGGCCTAAGATTTTCACAAGTAAACTTAGACAAGTGTTGTTGCACGACCTTCCTCATTTTGTTCTCAACCGCCACGACAATCTTCTCCTTCCACTTTTTCGTTATCCAAGTTGCAAATCTCGATAAAAGGCCGTTCAGAGGTCCTAAACCAGTCATGTTAATCTTCATTTTGCCTAAATTTTCCACTTGCAATTCCTGAAGAATTATTCTACATGGCACTCTACTGAAATCTACGACGATCGAAGTTGTCAATGATAATCCGTCGATTATTACCGATATATGTCCGCTCACTGACAGTCCATATTTTAACTGAAGGTAGAAGAGTACAGAAATTACTTTTAAAGAATTTGCACGCTTTCTATGATGATCCGTACGTACCTTGTACTTTTCGTAATTTATCTTGGCTTTTGAAAATCCAAAACCGCAGGATGCAGTAAATCTCAGTCCATCGTGTGATAAAGTAGCATGCTTAGTTCTTGTTAATGTAGTCAGATCTCTGGCGAACAAAATGCAATCGTAAACTTCGCGCAACATTTCCGGGAGCTGTGAAAGTATCATTGGTGTTGCGTAGGTGGAAATTGAGGAAAACAGTTATTAACATGGTGTTGTTAATCTTTATGGTTTATGCAGGCGTATAGAAGAAATTTGTCAAAGACAAATCAATCGGTTCGAAATTACTCACGAGAAAGTTCCATTTTCCGCTTGTAATTTTCCTTGAGGTTTCCAGCTAGATTCTTCAGTAATGTCTACACTGATGTAGGGTATTTCACAGGTCCCTTCGTTTTCATCCTTCAATTTCTCGACGATTTCGGCTATCGCTATATCCACGATCATATTGATCGCGGACTTGAAAAGTCCAAAACTATAGCAATGCACCATCTATGTATTAATGCATTTTTTTCACGCACCTGTAGATTACTTTGCCTTCGGGCGCCAAGATAATCGTGAATTTGTTGCGGCACTGATGACAACGGTCCAAAGTCAAATAGATGATTATCGGCATATTCAAAATCTTGCTGAGTAATACTGGCTAATTTCGAACATAGCGATGCTGTTAGGCACGACGCTGCCCGATGCAGAATTTCAATCTCGAATTTGCGCGGCAAACCTGTCCTGATAGTAATGAAAAACATTTGTTCTCCTTCAATTTTCGCCAGTGAACTGTAAGGCTTGGTTTGCGAATTCGAGTAACTTACTTTTCCTCGGGCGTCTTCGCTAAAAATATCAAACAATTGGATAACACCTTTTGATCGTGAGCATTATTCTGCGAACAAATAGAAAAATCAAGTTCCACGCTGCAGCAAGTTTTTTAAATAACTCACGACTAACTGCGCAGATCCCGCTATTTGAGAGATTAAAACTCTCGACGTTTTCAACGCGTTAATGTCAAGAGTTTCGTCATCATAAACAATACGCCCTGAAAGATTGTTATGGAATGAATAATTTAGAAAAGAAGTTTCATAAAACGTGAAATGCTAAAATATTTATTGATGATGCAATTTTTATTTGGAATCGATAATTCAAATAAATATTACTCATCTCAATTTTGATTGAAAGTATAAAAGTTACAATCATATTTACCTGCAAGAGATACGACGGCGTTGTTCATCAAAATATTTACTGCGCTCGTCACAGGGTATTGGTATACAGCTAACTCGTTTCTATCGTATTCAACAGTGATTTCCGCATCGTAAACGTAGATTCGTTTATCAATTTCCGTTTCAATGAAAAAGGTTTGTGCCTCGCAAACTAAAATTAACAAGTAGTTCAAATAGTCGACGAACTTTGTTAACATCGTGAAAGTATATTTTTCATTTATAAAAGTAAGGGTTGGAAATTTTATTTTATATGTATTTTATGTAACGATATACTATAAAAAGTATATTACATTTACAATTTGGCAATATATAAATGCACTAATAACAATGTTGATTTTTGAGCATTTTTTCGGAGATATTATAATAACTCCGTATCGTTAAAATTTTAGAAATGTGTATATATTATGTATATACTTATTTGTTCTGACGTTCCTGTTGCAATGGGCAACGTGGATACAAATGTAATTAACCAGAACGACCGCATACAAGACATCTTTAATCTGGTTTATCATCCTGAAAAATAAGATACCAACTTATTACAGGATCGTTCATAAATTGAATGTGTGATATTATTTATATAAAATACATGGATGTAGTAGAAATTTCCCAATCAAACGATTTCAGTAGTATTGTAAAATTACGAATTCTGATGACTTACTATGTAATTGCATTTAGCATATACCAAAATGGAGATTGGTATATCGCTAGAAGTGATAAGTATTTACAGAACCTAGCGGTTGTGGTCTGCCGCGACACAATGATCTCTCAGCAGCAACAGCTGACGTTTTAGTTGAAATTTACGAACAAGAGAGGAGGCCGTGCACGTTCCACAGAGCTCCTGCGTATGTGACAACTTTTGGGAAGGGACATACTGGACATGCGCATGATACATATGTTTTTTTTCGAAATATCAATATCAACTATGAAAAAAATTTATCTGCCGATAAATGTCATGTTTGTAACAATTTTATAAGTCACGTTTGAGTGACATCATATTAAAGATACGGAAATAAGGATGAATAAAAGCAAGGAATCTATGCCGAAATTTTTTATTTTAAATATTAGGAAATTGGTTTTACCTATTTATCTTTTCGAATATACAAATGCCATGTACGCATTTTGAAACAAATAGTACACAGAAAATTTAGTTTCAACAATTTGCTTGTTTTCTAATAATTTTTATAGATTTCTCTATAATAAAAAGAAAAATTTCAACGTTATCACGTTAATATTCATAAAAGATATTTACAAATGTCAAACATTTTCTAGCCCTAAATACATACACTAAAATGAATTTTTGCGAAAAAAATGTTATCTTCCTACGAATTTCTATAAAATCAAACAAACCGAAAATATCGTGTTCACGTCGCTATTCTTACAGCTGCTTTCTTATTGAATTAATTATCACAATGTGTATTGCAGAATACAACAGTTACATAGTTAATTAATTTGTCTGTTATTTTTCACTTGGATTTCGTTATTACTTTTACCCATTGTTAATTTTTTGTAGACTAAACTTCAAACGAGAAATAATTCGATTTTTAATTTATTACAAATGTTTTAGGTCAGCGTTAACTTAAGACGTAGTTATTTTTAGATACATTGACACAGTATGCCAGCAGTTTACTTTATATCTTAAATAAACTGAAAAAGTAACTCTAAGAATATACGAATCTTAATTGACCAACATTTCTTCTCCGTTATGTTGAGTTATCTGTAGCTGTAGAAAAAGAATAAATAAATCTGTCTTGTAAATTTGCAAAGATTTATGAATGAAAAATTAGTCTAGACATTAGCATCAGTGTTTACATTAAATTTAGCTGATCCAATAATTGTCAAGTTCAAACTTCTAGAAACTTGTTGTTTCTTCACTTTATATGTTCTTTATATATGATTTTTCAACTAAAATATGATAATTTTTTATATTTTAATTGAAAAATGTTTAAGTTATGGTAATATTACATTTAAAAAATATACGCTTTACCTAGAATCATAATTTTTTAGAAGAATCTTCGACTTAGTAATAAGCATAAACTGCAACAGTTATTTTGTAGTAAATAACAGGAGCATTTACTGTGACGGTTTGGTTTTGAATCAGCCTCATTTTTCATTATGAATTTCATACAATCTACGACAATAAATCACGCGTTAGTAATTTGTTATCAAATCATGTTCTATATTACCTGTGTATCTTCATTTACCTATCAAACTTGTAAATATGTAAAATAGCAAATATACTGCCGGAATGATGAATGAGAGATAGTAGATATGAGCCATTTCAGGACAAAATCACTTTTTGAAAGAACAGAATCATCCAAAGTTAAAAGCTATAGTTAAAATTACGGAAAATTGGTATAATGTATATAGTTAGTACAGTGATTTGTGTGAAGTTAAAATTTGAAATAATATTGATCATTAAAAAGATGCTACGCCTGATGAATATACTATAAGTTAATTTTAACTTAAAAATCATTTATTATCTCATATCCATGAGGCCTAAATTAAAAAAAAAGAAAGAGGCTGTATATTTTTTTACTGCTTTTTTCTGATTCAATGTTTACCATTTTTTTATTGAAATTATTAGTTGGTATATTGCGTCTAGATATCGAAGAAATAATAATGACAGATTTTTATTTTATACTTATCAAACAAACTTTGTAATAAGGACTGGCAATTTTTTAATACAAACAAGTCACTACATAATCTAAAAATAAATAAGCAAAATGTACATATTTCTATATCTTGTTCGAAACTATAATATTTTGATCGTATCTAAACTTGATCTAAATTAATCATAATTGATTTTTTTATTTTCAACAGCCGAAATATCTTAACTATATCAAATACTTCAACTTTTATAGTATCCCGCTCATCCACCGGTTTCCATTAGATCGATCAGTTGAACCTGACAGGATGGTTGTATCCAGCAACTACGTTTAGACTAATAGATATTATATCTAATACCATGTAATATTCTTTGTTGTTATACAGTTTATTAAAATTAATGCCAAAAAAGTACTTAGAATTATTTAATAGTTGATGATATGAAAAATTTATTTCATTATAAACAATTTATTTCCTTATACTCAAGGTCTAAAATTTTCACAAGAAAAGCTTTCCAAAGGTTTCGCAACAATTTCCTTAATTTTTGTTTCAATCGAACTAACAAGATTTGGAATATATCTCTTAAATACTCTTCTCGTCATTTTGATGAAGATTAAATCAACTATATCATTTTCATACAATTTGACTTTGGTCTTGCCAATTCTAGATTGGATTATAGATACTTCCATTTCACAAGGAAAGCTGTTGTAATTTATAGTTATTTTAAAGTTAACCGTCAGTTCATTAATCTTGAAGTAAATTTTTCCTTTCATTCTCAAAAGTATGAAGTCTACCTAAAAAAGAATTTTATGAGATTCACGAATAAATTGATGAATATTAGAAATAAATCGCAATAAATTTTATAGGTAATATTTACATCATATTCGTGAAAGTGAATATGAATTTCAGGTATTTTGTATTCTCCCTCAAGTGAAAACTCAAGTCCTTTGAAATTAATAATAACATCTTTTGATCGAGTGAAATTTCTCAAGTTTCTATAACATAAAATCAACGTTATTGCATAAATTAAATTGATTCAGCATCATTATATCACACACACGACGACAAAAATCGATGTACTCAATATTTTCACGATACAAGTTAGTCGTAAAAGACTTTATGTATCGATCATTGGTTTTGATATCTATGTTATCTTACCCAAATGTTCCATTATTCAGCCTTAAGTCTCCTCGTTTCATCGTGTATTTGCCACGTATTCTTTTACTCGCATCTGGTAATACGATTTCTTCAAGCTGATTTTTTGACGATTGAGTAATCAAGCTTGCAAACCAGAAGTCAGCGAGCATGTTGACTGTGTGCTAAATGTTATAAATGTAATATTTTGTCATTGCTTTTTAAAGTATTTGTAAGGATAGAAAGTAAAACCTGTAAATTGTTTTCCATCGTATTGAAAAGATGCAAGTTCGGATATTTTTCTGCAAACAAGTCGTACATTACTGAATTTTCACCAAAATTGTAACGATCATATGAAATGGCCCAGATGAAATCATAATGTGTTGAGTTTCCTAAACTTTTGCATAAATTAGATTCAATACAAGCGTGAGCCAATTGAGAAATTTTCAATTGCATTGACAAATCTATATTATCTCTAAAAAAATGGAGGAGATAAATAAATTGATCTAATTAAGTTTATATCAATTCTATATGAAAATTTGGAAATTATACGAACCTAGAAATTTGTCTTAAGTAAAAGTGACAATTTTTTAACCCTTTATCATTTTCCTAAAGTAAATATATGTCGTGAAAATTCAAAAGATAAATGCGATCTAGATAAAACGTGTCGGAATCTTTTGCTCAAAGTACCTGTAACTGTCCTTTTCCTTCCACATCAAATCGTATCCCAGTATAATTTAATTTTAATTTTTCAGTTTTTAATGTTCCTAAAAGGAAATTTGATTTCGAACCTTATTATTTTTTTTTACACATCCTTACATTGAAAACCTTACCATTCAACTTTATTTGTAAATTGCGTAGTAACATGTTGACAAGCTTGGTATTATCGTACTTGTAAACTGACAAATCTCCTCTGTCATAACTTACGATGGCTATTCCGTTATAGAAATAATCGTCTTTGAAGTGGCAACCTGTAAAATAAAAATGATAATAAATATTTTCCATGATAATATTACCATGATAATATATGATAATATTACTGAATTCATGAGATAAAACGTATGCGAAGCTACAGAGAAAGATGTTAATAAATAAGTTGGTAATCATAGTCTTGAAACGAATACTATTTGACAGCCAAAACGAACTACTCTTATTTTAGAACTGTTTTACATTTTTATAGCACTGAATAACCGTTCAGCATTTCTCACCGAAGAAGTTATAAAATACTGTTAGCATAAGATATTTATTCTACAATCTAAATCTAAAATCAATATTATGCCGAATACTATCGCATCGGTTATTAGAAGTATAATGAATTCTTTTGTTCAGAAAATAAATAGAAACTTACGCAACGCATACATTATTTAACGTGTACAGATAAACAACTTAACATGCTTATTGAATAAAATAGTTTTTTTAATAGAAAATAATAATTATAGTCGTCGCTTGTAGAATAATAGCAGTATTAATTCGCGTATTAATAGCAGTAGCCACCTTCTTTTTATAAGAACTGGGAACAGTCAATGACTCTTTTCTCATATATAATATTTGCTGTGCAAATGGCAAAATAAACTTTTAGTAATTTTCAAAACTTCAGTTTGTCGACAATCGATTTTTGATTGCTTTTACTCGATGTGTGTGTGTATGTGTGTGCGCGCGTGCGCGAGATTGCACAATTATGTGTTGAAATATCATGATAATTTGTATGACTGAAATGATAGAAAAGTGAATGAGACATAATGAAAAAAGTCAATATATTGACATAAGTTATGAGATTTTTAAATATATGATAGCCTTTCGCGATTAGTGTACTGATCGTATCTTTGTTCTTGTTAAGTCGAAATTTAAGAATAACGTAGTTACAATGAATTGTGTAACACTCGTAATTTCGTCTGGAATCGTATTTATGTAGTTTTCCAAGTCGGCATTAATTCTAACGTCATTTCGAGTTTATCTGGTGCAGTCGATCACGTAATGTACTTTCAGTGCACGACTTGCAAGGTAGACAAAACAAGTCACGTTGTATGTCCCCTGTCGAAAATGTAACTTTAGCGTTTTAGTATAAATCTACAATGCGATACTTCATGTCAGCTCGATCAAATCACGACATTTGTGAGGAAGTGGGTGAGGTAGAAAAGTCTGAATCCTCGTGGTAATAGGTAGATAGATAGGTATTTGTACACGTACTTTATCGATAAATGTTGCGTCTGTGAAGAGAACATTCACAAGAGTTAGGAAAACGCGCTGTTATCATTCCTCGATGCTGGTTTGCAAAACTGACGGGAACATGCAGCGTTGGGTGTGACCAGCCTTTCCTATTTGCTTTATTTGCGATAACATAATCGAAATATGTTATAAGAAAACTGTCAACTCGTCCAACTGTTGATAAATTTATTGGTAAAAAATGTAGGGAAAAGTCGTGACGTAATTATACAGTGTATTCGAAGTAGCCGTTTCATCAAGTAATCGATAAAACAATGCTTCTCCATAGCAGCCACTTCCATTCGATTGTACATCTTACGTAAAGGTATACGTCGATTAGAAAGTTCCTAAAACGGAGTCTCTAATGCACCTTGACCTTGACATCTCTATGGATCCAGAGACCAAAGCGAGAGAGAGAGAGAGAATGTATCGTGCAATAACGTGTCCTACATTCGCGGCAGTTACAGCCGAAAAAAGCCAATTACCGACAGAATTACATATCTATCCATCATTTTTTACTCGTTAGTTACAACATTCGTGAACAATTTTGAATAAGTATATACGTGTATTTGCTTATTGCATCTTCGCGACACCAATTTTCCCACGTGAAGAATCAGAATCTTACGCTAAAACGCAAATTACGCAAGCACTTTCGTCTAAACGAGATGATAGCTTGCATCAAGGTCGATGACCTGACCATCTAATCGGTTAAATACCATCTCCGAATGAGCCATAACGTATATGTAATAATATTCCATCACCTTTCTCTCTCTTTCTCTCTGCGGCGGCAGCGACGGCGGCGTCATAATTGCATAAACGTGAAGATCGAGGAGCTCATAAATCGCATTATCTAACGCCGGTAGACGAGACGAGAAGACACTTTCTCGTTTGTAGAGAAAGAGAAAGAGAGAGAGGGGTGGGGGAGATTGAGGGGGAGGGGGGGGGGGAGGATTTGGAATGAGAGCTACTGCGTAGACTAGTGGAGCTTACGTAAACGCGGTAAAAGTATGACTGCACAGAACTTTGATAACGGAAGTCCATCTGTTAAAGCGCGATATCGCTGTGTGACACCTACACGTGCGCAGTCTCGATTGTTCTCTCGCTTTTCTCGTTACGCATGCAATGGGCGAAAAACAAGAGTGCACGATCATCAGAATAATCCTCGACGCTTCGAGCAAAGAATTAGTCTTGCGTTTAAAAAAAGAATGAAACAAAATAAATAAATTAATAAATAATTGAACGGATGCAGAGGTAATCGGTTCGCGCGCCTTTTTGCGGGTCGGCCGTGGAAACCAGTGTTTCAAGGAAGTGATTGATCATTCATTAAACGCTTGGCAGCTTAAATAGCATGGGTGGACGCGCGTGAGCCACGCCACTTTATGCTATGCTGTAAATTGCAACGGAATTATTATTTCATCACTCCGAAAGTGGCACTTTCACATCCTTCTACGCACGCGTACGCGGACACAACTTATCTGCGTTGCTCTCCTTCTTTCAAAGATCGCGATAGAAATGTGCGCCCCACGCTCGGTGCTATTCTACAGTCGTAGGAAAGCAGCACCTCTGCATACTTTCCATTTGTTGATGTCGTCGAATTAACTTGTATTTCCGCGCCTCTAAAACCAGTCGATTCGCCGATAAAATTTGTAGCCGGTAGTAAAAATCATCGCAGTTCTCGTGGAACACCGGGCTGACGAGTGCAGGCTTCTATGGAACGGTCGAACGAGTTGTTAGCAGACGTCTATCGGCCGTACGAGCGATTTGCATCCATCAATCACGCGCCAACGAGAAAACCGATGCTTCTGCCGTTTACGTTTGTTCGCGCTCCATGATCGTTCCGCCCACGCCGTAATTCGTTTGCGCATCTCGCGCCGACCTACATTTCTACATGTTCTACAACAGGACAGTCGTCTGGAAATCGCAGGAAGCGCATTGAAAGGAAGAACGCACTTTCACTCATCCTCATCGCGACGACGATGCTATATTGATGGTAGCGTGCGCGCGCAAACTTCCGGGATAGTGAGCGGTCAAACATCGGAAATCGTAATTTTTGCAGATAAGTGCACACGCGGCGAGCATTTTTCTTTCTCGAGAAAACTCGATACATTATTAGCTCGCATTGCGGTTACGCGCCGACCCCCTGTGTACTTATTTCACTTTCGTACGCGTGCGTACGTTTGGCAGTGCGGGGTTTTAGCATTGGAGGCGTTGTGTAACAACCATTACTGTCCGTTCCGACTTGGAAAAACTTCGGAGTGGCGAGCGGCATGGGACGTTGTCCGATCTATTTTCTGAAGACTCGCTCGCGATCTTTCAGCCGGAGGGTCAGCGAATTCAAAATTTAGCAAAAGCACCCGCGTCGCATTGCCATCCACGTACATTGCTCTATTTGATTCCTTTCCGTCTGTTCGTCAACGCGCGCTTGCGTAATGGCACAGCGGTGTAAATATATTGCTGCAATAGAAAGTTTGAAGATGAGAGACAGAGAGAGAGAGGGCCGTAAAAATTGCTGCCTCGAGTATTTATGGCTAACCAACGTTGTTTGCTCTAAATACGCGTTGCGGCGGAACGGGATTCCGCGCTGTTGTGGGCGCATTTTCGCGAACGAGCATCGCACTCCCGAGTCTCGGATTGCACAAGATCGTAGCGAGGAAAGCAGAGCTTTCGCGAAATGATCAGCGGCTTTCCGCGAAAGAAGCGCGAACGAGGGGAATCACGCGCGGCCAGCAGTGGTAGACTGGAAGCGAAGCGCGTTCGTTTTCGAGTTGGCGCCGGTACACGTGACGTTGCGCGTGTATCACGCGATTCAACTGGTAAAGTTATTGCGGGGAGGAATGCCTCTGGCCGTCAGTTGACCCACCGTTGAGCGGTCGGCATTGCAGATCAAGCGCGTTACGAAACATCGAAACATTCGTATGAGTGCGCGTCTTGATCGAGCTATTGTTAATTTGGCTGATTGTCAAGAGACGATAGTCGGAAAAAGGGAACGTGGGAGTGCGAGCAATCAACTGAATATGGCAGTGACGATATGTACGGTTGAGCAATAATTTCACTTGACCCTTCCCAGCGAGGCATCTCTGAGATTCGTATCGCGTCGAGTTTTCCTGGCGTCTGTCTTGCGCAAAATAAAAGGAAAACCACGCACACCTTTCGCTTGGGAATACAATTTAACGAACTTACCATTTTGCCTGCATTTAAACATATAATCTTGGCTAATCGATGCTATTATCACTTATTTATTCATCAATCAACCATCACGGAGATAATGTATCATCGATTCGCATTAACATTACTCTCGTTGGTTTGGCGTTGCACTAAACTCATTACAATAGCTCATTAATTACGATTCGATCGATCAATTAACGACACACCCGTTATTCGATTAGGATAAAACAATTAGACAGGAGACATTTCGCAATCAGACGCATCACGTTTTGTAATTCCTTTCATCGTCGTTAAGAAATAATCTTCCTTTGAAGATTTCATTTGATTGCAAAGATAATAAAAACGTCGGGCAAAATGACAAAAGAAAGGAGAAAATTGAGTTTATCTTTTGGTTGAGCTTTTCATATCGATGTAACAGCAAATTTTCATTTCAAGTTGATAGACGAAAGCGTGTTGTTGAAGAAATCGCAATGGAGCAACTTAATTTGCATGGCGCACTAGTTGCAAACTTTAATAGTGTCACAATCCAGCCGTGGGTGGAAGGGTGTGTGAGTCTAAATGCACGGCGGGAAAAAAGAACGTCGCAAGCGCGAGAATAGATCGTTGAAGAAAACGTGCAATCTACACGCCTGGGAAGTTCTCAGCAAAGGTCAAGCGAGATTGAAGATCTCACAACTGGTAGTGGAGTAGGAAGTGTCGAAACTACGCAGGGTGTGTGTGTGAGCACTTTTCCTCGACCGACAACTACGTTGCGCGATCGGCAACAGAGTTTATTAATCGCAGATTTTAAGTGGAATGTTGTCGCAATTTCGTCGGAAAACAAGGTTACACTCTGCATTATGAATATTACAAAAAAAAAGAACGCGATTACAACAACGCGCTCGGTTTCCTTCGACAAGGGGATTGATTATAAAGGTATATATTGCAGGATGTCGATTGCGAAATGACAAGGCAAACATTGCGTGTTTTTTTAACGTAAAAAAATAAACTTTTTTAAACTTTTATTCACATGTAAATGTAAAAAATGAAGAGTGGAATGTCGCGCGATACAATAATTAACATCTACATTAAGACTCGTATAAAAAATGAAGAGCAAGGAAAAGATAGTGAGGAGAATTTATACAATGTGGCGCAGAATATCACTCGTGAGATCGTCTGAGTATGAGGAGAATTTATGTTGGTCTAGAAATGGTGTCCGAATCCATGAAGATCGTAATGCTCGTGGTGATGGTGATGATCCTTGATGTACACTGGATAAGGCTCTTTAACGACTACTGGTACCTTGACAGCGTATGGTACTGGCTTGTGTACTTCCACTGGAACTTTTACTGGTACGTGCACTTCATAGGGGACCTTTACGGGTACCTATGAGAGGGAAAATAATATTGTTTCTTTTAACGACCGATGGAAATCTGTGTTATAGTTTCCAAGAACGTTAATAATGGTACATGCTAGAATTCTCGTTTCCGAGATGTATTAACTGTTTAATATTCGTACAGTTCGATCCTCTGAGATTTAACTCGTCTAGATGTCTAAGAAATAAGTGTTTTTTGTAATTAACTGCGTAAATTATATTCATAACGAATATTTCATTGTTTTCATCGCGTATATAGCCTAACAAATAAAAAAAGTTAATTTTACTCGAAAATTTTGAAAAGAGCACGAAAGAAAAATTCATACCTTGACGGGGACCTTAACCGGATAAGGCACGGGTTTCTCGACTGGCACAGGTATATGCTTCTCGTGAACGACTGGATAAGGTTGCGGAACATGCACTGGATAGGGTCTGTCAACTGGTACTTTGATCGGTACGTGATAAGGTACGGGCACGTGTTTCTCGTGGATCACGGGGTACGGCTGAAGTACGGGCACGTGCTTTGTGATAGTCACAGCTTTGATGTGGTCGTGCGTGATGTGTTCGTGGCCAGCCAGGCCATCGCCCAAGTGAGCGCCAAAGTCGCCGAAACCGTAGTGATCTCCGAGACTCAGCTCCAAGCCGCGTTTGGTTTTCTCCTCGGACTTCTTCTCGACGGTCGTCGTCGCGGCGGCCGCCGCCACCGCCGCCGCGGGCTCGACTTCCTTCTTGGTCGCCGCTGCGTCTTCGGCAGATGCCACAGCCAGTAGGCTGAGCAGCAAGAGAGCCTGCAAGCGTCGTGCATTCTTTCAGGAAGGCGAGAATTTAAGAGATTCGTTGGTGCCGCGAGGAGTGCGTCGAGTGCGTAATCGAAAGAGAGAGAGAAAGAAGCTTGTCTCGAAATCAGGCGAGCAGGCGCGTGTATGCGTCGAGCGGATAGAAAGAGAGCAAAAGAGAGAGAGAGAGAGAGAGAGAGAGAGAGAGACTCGTTGTACGTGCGCCGAGAATACTCACTTTCAGTTTAGCGGCGCCGTTCATGGCTGCTTGGCAGTGAGCACACTGAGTCCCACACGTGGTCTACTCTCGGCTTTTATAAGCCACACAGCAACTATCGCCGCGACGCGACTGCCGCCGTGGTTCGCTGCTTCGGCAAGCGAGGGAGTGGAAGGATGACGACGATGATGCTCGAACGCTTTGTCCTCGGCTCCCTTTCCTCTTGGACTGGCAGAATCGCTTGAGCGTTGTCGCTCGACAAGTGGCTGGCGAGCCCTCGATCGCAGCTCGTCGAAGGATGCCGATCGATCGGCGACCACGTCCTGGTGCGCCTGTGTTGCGAATTGACCATCCATCATTTCCGAGGCTGGTTGCGAAAGAAGCCCCTCGCCAGCTCGCAGCGGCATGCAAGCGCGAGCGGAACTCGGGGCGAGATGCCGCGGGTCTTCGCCGACGAAACGAGCCAATCGGGCGAGGCGCGCGCTCTAGCGCCGCAACGCCGACGCGGCCTTTTGCTCGTCGCGTCGCTGCAGTTGCGCGTGTGCGACGCTTGTTCGCCGAGTAATTGGTGTGAGTTAGCGCCTTGGAGAGTGTCGCTCGTTATTTCGGCCGAATCTTCTGTCCTTTTCCTCCTCTTGCTTCGCTGTGCTCGTCGCCGGTATGACGCGCGCGCGCGCGCGGTTCTCGAACGCAAGATCGAGCGCGAGCAAAGATCTCGGGACGCGCGCGCATTATCTTTTTTGCCTTGTCCCAATCAAAATAGCTGAACGCGAGCCTTCAAATGAGCGTACAGCAAAGCGTCGCGCGCAGGTGAAAATCTCTCGGCGGTATTACGCAAAAAGGAAAAAAAAGTGCTTCGCGCCTCCGAGAGATTGGCTCATTGGGATTGGCGCGTTTGGGATGCTGTCGTCGTGATTCTCAATTGTCTTGTGAGCAAAGGCGACTTTCTAATTGATCGATGGACACATTACGCGAATCAACTAAAAGTTAATTCGCGCCTAAGATTTCGCGAGAGAATTAGTTAGATTTATTAACTTGGTGTGGGTATGTGTTATCTTTGCGTAAGCGTGTAATATATCAATGACCGTTTAATTAACGAGCGTGATATCTATCGTTTAAGATGTGCGTTTTCTTTTTTCATTCCTTGTCATTGGGCATTTTACACGCGAAAGGCATGTTATGGCTGACGCTCGAAAATACGTCCAGGCGACTACGGTAAACGTTATGTAAAATAAACTAATACTTCCGCCCGGTTCTGCCAATTTTTTATCATGCATCGACGTGGGCACACAAGGAAGTGATTGAGTTTCGCGGTCTTGGAATGTTATGGGTCTGAAATTGAATACGACGACGAAAATAAAAGAACGCGTACACTTGGGAAACTCTGTCGAGTTTCTCCCCTCTGCCCCCCCCCCCCCCTCCCTAACGCCTCATCGCCCGCGATTTTTAATTCCAAGACATAAAATTGTATTGTTCGAGAAGAGATTGCGTAAATGCTGCATGCGACAAGACACAATTTACACGTATATCAATCGATGTCATTAGAATAATTTCACGCTTTTACCAAGCCGTAAATACATCGCTGATATTTAACATTCAAATCCGAATCGAGTCGATGTTTACTGTAACACGTGTTTCGTTGATAAAACATTCTCTCTCTCTCTCTCCTTCTCTCTTTCGCTTAACTGATCTCACGCTGATTGAACGAGTTTTGCATTTGCAAATTATTCCGTCACCGCAGACGTCAGATGCACTTGTTGATGTCAATCGATGATGCATAACGGACTTGTATTAGATCGTTACACATATTCTACATCGACGACGCGTCTTGTGAAAATTACTCTTCGACAGATAGACGTGTTTTCGAAGATTACGTTTACATGGCTGTCTTGTAAGAGTGGATGACTGCCAATTTTCACATTTTTTTGGGCATATAAGAATTTGCGAGTCAATGCGGTTCTCCTTTGCCGAGCTTTTCGAATTTGACAATCGCGCAAACTTTGGCAATGACATTGCCAATCGTTGGCATGTCGCCTGAAAAACTCGCGATCATTGAACGGTTTCGACATCCTTGTTTAATTTGTGCATATCCGATTAGATACTTACGAAAGCGACGGAGACGCTACCGTCGATAGATAGGCGTCACGTACGAATGGCGAACGAACGCATCTGAGTTTTGAAACTGTTCTCGGTAGGGGCGCTGTCGAAAGTGATCGACGCACGAAAACGCTTTCCCGCTCTGCGCTGAGCCGCTGAAATCGCAGTGGCGACGCGAGTTGCAGCAATTGTGCTCCCGCGGCTCGACGACGCAGTATGAGAGTGGACGCGGAGCGTTGCCACGAAATCGCTACCAACTGTCGTGACTACACCGACAACGGCATCCCCTCGAGAGAACTTGGATCTGTCGCGCCGCGCGCGCGAGTCGTAAAATTGCCAGAGAGTCAGAATGCTTCCGCGCGCAATCCTGGCGGCGCACTTTGCGCGCTCGTCGCGCATATGTAAAAGTGCGGGCGTCTTCGCGCGATCCACTAACCGCGGGAGACGGAGTGAGTTGCGCAACGCGGAAGGCCGAGGGCGTTCCCGCCGCTTCCCTTTGTCGTCCGATTTACTGCCAATCGGAGGAAAGAAATGCACCCGCCGCTTTCGGCCCGCGCAACCACGTAATGCTTGCAGAGGCTTCTGCTTCGCTTTCGCGTGCACGAGACTTTGCCAGACATAATCGCGCAACGGATGAAAGCGTGCTTTTAGGATTCTTTCGTCATTCGACGCGATTGGTGTACGATGGAATGTATGTTTTTCTGTGTTTTCGAGAACTATCATTGATAGATCGTTTTCGAATTGACTTGGTGTAAAAATTGCCTCGTGCAATTCGAGGATCGCGGAAGCTTCGCGTAAAAAAAACCGTCCACGCGCGCGACCGATTACAAAAGTTTCCGCGCGAATAGATTAATTGGGCCGAGATTATAGATCAGACGAAAAGAGAAAGACAAAACTGGTATGAAATCAAGTCTGCGGATTAAATCTTAGAGAGAAAAAATGCGTAACACGCTGACCGTAAAACACGTTTCACCACAACCTCATCCTGTCTCATTATGTCAGAGCGATGACAGTGACCGAGATTACGCGAGATATTACGAGAAAGAGGGAGAAAGAGGGAGAAAGAGGGGGGGGGGCAACTTTCGTGCCAATCAATTTTTTCTTTTTGTCTGCAGTTTGCGACGACTCATTGGAAAATTCGCTTCAGAGAATCGTCAATTTTATTTGATATGCAAGGTTTCGCGCCGAGCCTTTCAAAATTATTGTGATACCGTGTATTGCGCTCGTGCAAAGATTCAATGCTGATTCCGGATTCTTTCGTAAAAAAAAGCACGAATAAAAATTAACATTTCTACATGAATATTTTCGTCGGTTACGTGGCGAATTTCCATGCTTATTCAACTAGCACCTCCTTCGTTTCTTTCTTTTGTTTACATAAAATAACAACAGCGAAACGTCAGCGTAAAAATGCAAATAACTGTCTGAAAGTAAACTGGATTCGCGATGAAAGTCAACTACCCTCTAAATTTGGCGATCACGTTTTTGCGTAAGGCGCCTACTCGCGTTTCACGTACACACGAAATTCATTAGATTACAACAAGAAGAGGGAATTAATTTACGTCATAACTTTTATTTTCCATCCGACTGCTCGCGCGCGACATTCTTGAGGTACGCGTTATCCAACGCCGCTTTATTAAAACCGGCAGTGTTTATTATTAATATTAAAATGTAATTTGCATGAGGAATTCTCAATGTCGAAATAAACGTATCGGCGAAATTTACAGAAATTAACAGACGACGATAATTGATTAATGAGTATATTGGAAAATTGATTAAAGAAATTCCGACACGAATGTTATTTAACGAGCGTCCCGTCCCAGCGGTAGCTTCGATCATTCAATTTGGAGAATTAATAATTCCCATTTGCACGCGTCGCGTTATTTGGCTGGCCGGGCGCGGAGAGAAGAAATCCGAACGTTCGCGTTCGCTCGTTGATTTATAATTGGCGGTAAAAACGTTGATAAACGTCGGCACGCCGATCGTGTCGTTAAAACAAACAAAGGTCGGCTGGATATTTTGAAAATAAAAAGGAGCCAGGCGAGGCGAGAGCCGGCCGAGCAATCGCTGCCTCGTGCTAAGGAGAAAGCGGCGTTTTAGAGCGAGTACATCTCGCAGCCCTTGCCGTCGAGACGTAAAACGGCGATTATCTAATCGCCGAAGAAGCGTTTTACCGATTCATTGTCGCTCACGTTCGAGCAGATCTGTATCTGTAATTATGCAATGTGCGCGCCAAGCTATAAAATCCAAGCGAAACAATATGACCATTAATTAGTCTCGCGAAAAAATTATGATTATTCTTTCCTTTTGAGTTCCGTCGCGCGGTTACGAAAGCACCAACTTTCGTGTGGCAGTTTTTTCTTTTTGCCGTTCGTTGCGATAAATGACGCTCGAGTTTCTAAGTGCCTCCGCGTGTGCGAGCGAGCAACGCAAGTTGATAATGTTTGGCTATTATATTCCTGAAATTATTATGTAAAGGCAATGAGGAACTTGAGTTTAAGGTATGCGACTTTTAAAGCTTGATGAGTCTATTATACGATTTTTCGTGATTAATGGAAAATATGCCGCACTGTTCACTGTTTTCCTCGACGAATGCTGTACTGGCGTGAGCAAGCCGATTACGTAATTTTGTTTTGATGAAAGTTTTGTTGCATTTTTCTTCGAGTCTCCAATTAATCAGAGGACTTGTCAGTGGAAGCTATGTACGCGATTAGAGTCAAGTTTCTTCTTGAATTATGAATTTCATTAGAGTGCTTCGTCGATTACATCTACGTGAAAATAACTGTTATTAGAATTATTAGTTTTCCAACTAATTCGTCAAATACGTTCTCATGACTATTATAGACACACTTCATTTTCATTCTATGCATTGCCTAACAAAATTAATTAAAATTATCTTTCGTTGGTTTTACAACATCTATTGTAAATTGGTTCAGGTCTCAACACGAGCATTCAAATCACTGCTTTTCTTGTCTAAGTCCTCGCGATACAACTGACATCGAACAAAAGGCTCTTAACCAGAGGCCTACGTAATTCAAAAAGTATTCCCATAACGACCTCGAATCCATCAAACCCTCATCAATAACAAGAAGAACGACAAAAAAAGTTCCAAGTCACTGGCTCCAATTATCCAAGCCGCAAGTTGTCCACCTGCCTCGACTTTGCTCTTTGTCTATGTAGCAACGGCAGTAGCAGCATCCGGCGAACCTACGTGGGAAAAAGGAGAGAGATGTGTGTGGTAGGATGTATATGAACGGCGCGTTCCCGAGAGAGTATGGCGTTATAATATCGGGAGGTGGCGTGTGCGTATGGCGCGGCGAAAGTGCAGGTATATATGCGGCTGATTGCCGCTTGCTCCGGTCAGTGGATCCAACGGTTTTCGCCATGAGAGTACAGGTGAGCCCCGTGTGCTTTTCTAGGCCGCCCACCTCATCTACACGTTTGTTTTCCCCTTTTTGTTTCTTTTTTTTTTTCTATTTTTTTTTTTAAATTTGGGAGTGACGAGTTCGTCGCGTGATGAACACTACTGTTGTGTATATGTGGATTTTACTCGTTTATTTAATTTTTTTTGGTTGGGGTCGGACTGTGCTTATTTCATTGTGTTGTTTTAACGTGTTTTTTTAAAAAATTTGTTTGCGTTTTGACGACAAAGGGTAGAACGCTGGTGACAATTGCTTAATAGAATAGCTTTAACGTAATAATATTTGCATCTCCTCTCGCGATACGCACCAACGCCGCGTGGAAACGGCACTCGAGCGCAACACTCAATCCTGACGCGTTAGAAGAAAAAAACAATAATGAACGTTTGATCGAGTAACTTGATTATGCGCTGCGATTTACATACTGCCACGAAAAAAAAAGAAGTTCGATTACTTAACTAACGCATAGTTGCAACTCATGAACCATAACAGTTGCGAGTGAGAAGAGAAAAATATAGCGGCGGCGTGTGATTAATGCTTACACATATCCGCTGTTGCACTTTCCAAGCGCGTTTTATGGCGAAACTTAGCCGCGCGTATGAACGATCGTCTGTGAGATTGACTTAGTTTCTTTTGTTGGTAATTAGTGATCTGCCTTCGTCACGAGTGATTTAATGTAAAGAATTGCTCACATAGTATGAGCTTACGAAGCAATGAACGTTTGGTACTCCATAGGCGGAATTATGGAAAAAAATATCGACGAATGGGAAGGCAGTGAAGCAAATTGTTTTCTCTGGATTCTTTAGGTAATTCTCTTCTCAGCGCTGATGACAGCAGTCTCGGCCCGGCCCGAGAAGGCCGATGCCAAAAAGTCCGAGGAGAAATCAACCGACAGTAAAACCAAACGCGGCCTTTTTGACGTTGGTCTTGGTCATGACTTTGGTGGTTTCGGTGGTGGCTTAGAATTAAGCCATGCTTCGCTACATCACGACGAGGGCCATATAACCGGCGTGACCATTCACAAAGAAGTAAAAGTACCAGTACCCGCACCATACCCAGTCGAGAAGGAAATTCCCGTACCATACCCAGTTCACGTGAAGGTCCCAGTCGACAGACCTGTCCCATACCACGTACCTGCTCCGTACCCAGTGAGCTTCTTTTGTTTATTTCACTTATATTCAGGGAGACGAAGATGTTGTAACGGTTTGCGGGCGTAGGTCCCAGTGGAAAAACACATTCCTGTGCCCGTCGAGAAGCCAGTTCCGTATCCAGTGCACGTGCCTGTGAAGGTAGCCGTCGAGGAGCCCTACCCAGTACACGTGCCTTACAAGGTACCGGTCGCAGTGGAAAAGCCCCTTCCATACCCTGTCAAGGTACAGTGTGCATCGAGTTAATTGCACGCTGAATGAATTGTGCTGTCTGACCTATTGTCGTTTTCAAGGTACCGTACGTCGTTAAAGAGTCGTACCCAGTTTTCGTAAAGGACCATCACCACGAACATCACTTTAGCGACTTCCATGGCTTCCACTGATGCGTGTGTTTTCTCCAATTGGTTGGCCGTTGTAAATAATGAGTGAGCGACTGCGCGTGACGTAAAAAGTAAATCAACAAAAATACTCGCTCCCGGCGAGTACCACTTCTCCTGAATTCGTTTTTCCGCTTGGCGCTGCGGTATTTGGATTTTTGTACAACAAGCCAGGCGGATGATTGGCCGCTCAAATACGAACATATACATGTAATGTTTGAACAAGCGGATGCTAGTTTGTACGAGTTATGAATAAATATTATTTTTGCTACGAAACATTTTCGTGCACCTGTGCTTTCGTATTTTCCACTTTTCATCTGCACTTTTTCCAAGGATTTCCCCCGGCTCTTCGAGCCCGCATTGTTTGCTTATTCCAACGAGAGCTTTATTTATTCGACTGAAACGTATGAAGTCTTGTTCAAATATCGCTTTACCGCGGAGCCCCGTGGTTAATCCTATATTTCCGCGCGAGAATTTCTCCCGTTTTTGTTGTTGCACCTTTCCTCCCGACGTTATTAATCGTCTACGTACATTCACCTGAAAGCTCAAATTGTCGCGTCGTCGCTGCTCGATAACCCAAATTGCTCAGGGCTGCGAACGCGCGCGCTACATTCTTTCGCGCAGATATTTTCCGGACATTTGAAAATTGAGCTCGGGCGTACCGTAACGCGGACTCCGGAGCACATCGCAAGAGAGCATCGAATTTTCAACTGAAAATCCTACGAGCGCTCTTCCCGCGTAACGAGTCGCCGTCTTTTTTCGAGAACGTTCAAAGATCCTCAAGACGTATCAAGGTCAGTTGCGTCACCATTTGAATGCACTTTTTACGCAAGCACCCACAGCCGAGTGACTGTCGATGCATGTTCCGTGCTGCCGGCGACGTTGTCGAGTGGCTTCGAGAAAGGAGGGAGCCTATTACGTTTCCCAGAAGCTCTCTCGCTTACTTATCGGCAAAGGTTCCTTTGACTGGATTGGAGCGATTTTTAGCGCGCGTTCAGCGTTGCTGAAATGTCCCGCTTGAAATTCGGTGATCGCCGATGGGAACAATGCAGCGCACTATCGGCTCAGTGCGTCGAACCTAGTGTTTTTCATCAAGCCCATTTGCTCGTGCTCGCCGCGGACTGCGCAGCGGCAAAGCGGCGATACACGGATAATATAAAGAATGTAGGTCAAAGCATTCCAGGAAGAGCAGCATCGAGCCGCAGCTTCATGCATAGCGGCGCTCGTCGCCAGAGCGCCAACGTCGAAAACGGATGTTAATTAGTCCCGCGCGCAGTCTGCCCTCTCGGCCGTCCTCTCGGACGCCCGCTCGCTTCTTGTCGGCCCAATTGAATTTCGCTTGGCGCCGATAAATTCATCTGGCCGCCGATTGATGAGAATGCGATTTGGCCGGCAGAGAAAAGCGCGACAGCTTTTTGCGAGGCTGTTATGCAGCCGGCGAGGGGCGAGGGGCGAGGGGCGAGAGGCGGACGAGATACGTGGTTGCGTTTGCATAACGATTACACGGAGCGAAGGATTCTCCCACACAAGTGCATCGCGCGGACTCTCGTCCGCGTTACGTTACACTTTCCCGCGAGCGAGCGCGTGCAGCTGCTAACCGCGAGATACTTGATGTACTCTCGCCGATCGTTTTCCTGCCGTTTACTTTCTAATTTATCGGCTTTCAGGCTCTTGTTTGCCCGCTTACTTTGACATTTAACCAGGCCGCGTAGCTGCACTCCATCGCTTTTCGGACCGCTGTATTACGCGTTGCGCCGTTCGGACGTGTGGCGACGCGCGAACGTTCCTTCGTCTCTTTCGTCAGCGTTAACGCGGCACGCCAGTGGAAACTCGCATCAGCGTCACTTAGGTTTTTTCTGCTCCTGCGAGAATAAAAATTAATGGCCCGCGTGTGTGTGCGCACGCGCGCGCGCGGAGATTTTCCGCGTCATAAGTTTATAATATTTTCAAAAGAAAAGACAAGTAAAACGAAGCGATGTCAATTTAAATGGAAATCGCCGGCAGCGGCGTGCACGCATATACATAGTAGAAAGTTTTTAATTTTGCCGTTGCTCGTGCGAAGGGATATAGACGTTGCGTTGTTTTCTTTTTCATTTTTATTTTGTACTGAGCGCTGCCATGAAAAAAATCTAATTTACTCTTATATATATATATATATATATTTATAAAGTTACCTCGCGAGGGATAGAGTCAACGTTTTTTATAGATTGGTTATTCAATATATTTAACTTTGATTGGAAAGAGCTGGATCGAGTGGAATATTGATATCGAGTTAACGCGCCTTACTCGCTCTGTTTTGTGCAAATATTTGATTAGCGACAAACAGAGACGACTTTATATTTCGCTGTGTTAATTTCACGTAGCAATTTCAATTTTTTGCTGTTTTAAGGAAATCCTCTTCTCTACTTTGCACATTTACAATTTATAGAATTTTTCATGTGAAAGATTAAATGATTTATCAACTCGTATTACTTTGCACAACGTTTTCTTACAGGAAAATTATTATAAAGAAATAGTAACTTCGTTCAAATCGTAGAACGACCAAAAATATCAGCACCAACGCTGTAGACACTGTTCACTAGCATAACGAGTGTAAAATAGAATTTTTTTTAATATTCAATATTTAAATTTATGGCTGCAAAGCAACATTTTTGTACAATACGTTAAATACACATTCCAAACAAATCCGTAGCTCCGTATTCACATGAAATCGCAATCTCTCTCTCTAAAAAAACTTGTCTCGATGCACGAACAGCAGGCTGTACGCTTTTGCTCAACCCTATCATGAATTATTTATCCGTTGTGGCGACAATAACGAGAAGAAAAAAGCCAAGTACGACCGGTCATATTTTACACAATCTAATCTCGCTCTTCAAGGTGAGTTAATCCAATATACCGCATATACACGCGTCTGTCTCTCCAGCAGCGCGAATCTAAATCGCTTTCACAAATTGTCGCACGCAATTTTACAAGCTGTATGACTGGCGTAATAACCTACCATAGCGGAAACAGCAGTCACAGAGTATGCATATTGTTAGAGACCTTTCGAATGCGATTAGTTTTTTTACCCTGCTCTTTTTTTTATTGCGCTGCGTTACACCGAGGTCGTGTCATTTTTTGCGATCGAAGTTCGCTAGCAAACAGGAGAGATGATGTTTTTTGCAGTTCGAATGTACTAATGCAATGCACCAGTAGTGATTGATTTGGAGTGCCGTTGACAGTGTCCTCGAATTTTATGAGAAGCTTGCACGATTCGTCAAAAGTGAATAAACGACGAGACGCGTTAACGCCGTCGAATGCAGTTGCCCTTTCCGCGTGTGCAGCGTGCACGGGCCAGCAGCCAAAGAAAGCTGCAGCGCTGGCGTGCGAGTCTTGAATCGCGCAACGCCCGTTTGCACGTCGAAATAGCGAGCACAATAACGCGGAGCCGGCTTTTATAAAAATAACGTTCGCCGCTCATCGATAGGCCCAGCGCGCCCCACGCGTGCTCCTCCGCGATTCGATGGGCTCGTTGCGCGTGTCCGCGAAAAAGTCGTCCGTCCGCTCCTCCGCAGCTGATCGCAGGCGCTACAGCCTACCCGACCTTTGCATCGCGCACGAAGAACTTTGGCGCTGTATGGTCCCCGTGCGGCAGCACCGCTCGCGAGCGAATTTCCGCAACTTACGAGCTTGCACCGGAGCGGGCTCCACGCGGGAGTTGAGCCACGCGCGGTACGGGCAAGTTCCCCGGTAGACAGTCGCCGGTGCGTTGCGGAAGCAGCTCTCGAGATTTCTCGCTCGCGTGCCTCTCGCGTGTGGCGTAATTACCGTGATTTGCGGGGGCGCGAGGGGGCGCGAGGGGGCGCGAGGGGGCGCGAGGGGGCGCGAGGGGGCACGAGGGGCACGAGGGGGCGCGGCTGGCTTCGGCTCCATTGTCGGCGATTGATCGCGCGAGCGCGGCGCACTGCTTGAAAAAGCGAGGACCACGGCACCTGCGGAGGCGCGGTCGACGGCCACGTTCGGTCCTGCGGCCAACGTCTGCGCGATCACTCGATAGCTTGCCTGGCAAGCAATGGCGAAGCGACGAACGCGCCCGCGTAGCTATCGCCTCGACTATAGACTCGATGGCTTTTCGGCTACTCGCGCGCTGCCCAGTGCCCGTCCCCGGTAAAAATATCCCACGGAAAATCCGGCAGCCATTAGGGGCGAGCGCGCTCCATCCATCCATTACACACGCTCCCCCGCGTACGTCTACGCGAAGCTTCTTCCGCTAGACGAAATAAAGGAGCGCAGTCCTGAGTAAAGATCGCTCTGGTGCTCGCTCGCTCCGGTCGATCGACTCCAAGCTGCACACATACGTGTATCCTTGCAATGACTCACGATTTGCCGCGCGCGGCATCCTTTGAGAATTTTTGCGCGCGCACTTTTGTACAGCGAAAAGCTTTCAGCCGGCGAATAATGGATGTGCAGCCAGCTACTGCCTGCACGCAGCCTAATAATGCGCGCTGGCATGCGGCTCGAGTCGCGCCATTTTTCCACGCGCGTGTTTAACGGTGCAATTGTGTGAGCAACTCCTGTGAACAACTAAATCGATGTTCGTTCTTGCAATTGGGCTCCGACTCTAATGTCACTCGAAAGCTTCGTTTGTCCAATAGCACTTCTTGTTCGATACTGTTTCGGATCCATGAGCAGCGCAAAGATTATAAAATGGTATTCTTATCGCTATGGACTTATAATTGAAGTGCGATCCGAAAGCACGCGAGTCGGGTGCAGCTGCACGGGAAGCACGACAAATGATGTTACCGAATGACAATTTACAAATACAAAGAAATGTTTGACAAAACTTGAAGTGCCAATTGTTGATAATGCTACAGCCCAGTGGAAAGTCGCATCCAACGACGCCACCAATAGCCTGATAGCTAGGAATGAAAACATGACGTACTGCGCAGAATACGTCAGTGGTAAATAGTTTGCGAATGTAATTTATCGGCACGTTCAATTTTATTATTTTTACTGCACGCGAAAACTACGCACATTTTTAAAAGCCTACGGTTGACGACACAGCCCCGGAGACATACAGCGTGTATTTCAAAGTTGAATCGCTCGTGGAAAACAAACGCAGTTTCCACTTGAAGGAAGCATAAAATAGTGCAACAACGTGCCGGGTTGTAAAAAAAATAACGGTAGTTACTCAAAGCCATATCTGCGGCAAGGGTCGCACATGAGCGTTTGGCAAATGCCTTTGTGGTGC